TTTGATTTTTTTTTTGCGGGGGGAGCGGGGCGGGCAGCCAGACCCAGCTACTTTCCATCCTACCTGCACTTGGGTCCGAAACAGCATTTCAGATGAGCTGTTTTTCTCGGCGGAGTTCACTTGCGCTGGAGAGAAAGCCAACTTGCTAGACCCCTTCGGTCTTTGAAAAAAAAACACACAACAGTTTTCTTCCTGCATGAAGAAAGTCGTAGAATTAGAGATACAGGAAGGCAGAGCCTTTGGTCGCACGCCCTCCCCACCTCCTGCCCTGGTCCTCTAAAAGGGGAAATAGGTAGGAAGAAGGGCCTGTGGAAAGTTACCCAGCCAGGACAGCGACCTTAATCTCTCCCTAAACTCTTTGGTTTATAAATGAGTAAGTTTTCTCAAAGTGTAAGGAACTCCAAATGAGAAAATAAAAACGAAAGAAACAAGTCCTCTGATTGCTCTCTTCTTAATAACCACAGCAGGGTGGGGCCCTGAATACAACTCAGATAAAGTTAAATTTGGCTGCTGGAGGCTGAGATTCATCCTAAATGGGAAACAAGACTAGAGCCCTCACCCTGGCATATCTGACCTCAGGGCCCTTTCATTGACACTGCAGCCCCACGTCAGAACGTGCTGATTTGAAACTTTTCCTCCAGTGGAAAGGCCAGAGTAGGTGAGGTTCTGTCCCTCTTGAGCTCCTCACTCCCACGCGAGCTAGAACCAGTCCCTCAGGTGGGCTCTTCCAGCTTGGAACATGCTGGACTATCTTCCCCTGACTGCCTCCTGCTCTTCCTGCTTCGGAAGATGTCCTAGCCACCTGCCTCTCTGGCTGGGTTAGGTGTCTCCAGGGGTTTTGTCTCCAGCACAAAACCATTAGCTTCATGAGGGCCAAGGACTTGTCTCACTCATCTCCATATCTCCAGCATCTGCACTCCTAGCACAACAAAATTGAATTAATTTTACTGTTTTGGTGGGTGTTGAAAATGGTTTGGGGCACCTGAAATAGCTGGGGCAGGTCCAAGGATGATGGAACCCAGTTAGGGAACCTCACTGATTAGCCATTGAGGACATTCCAGTCATGCCAACTTCCTGATCCAGTGAACTCTGAGAAGGGGTAATGTGGCCACACCCTGCTCCCCTTCCACTGCAGACTATGCCAGGGGCTTCTGCTGACCCCACTGCAGAGATGATGCTGGGGCTTCTGTTAAGTTGAAGGAGCACAACTCCAGCATAAATGCAGTTTCACAGGATTATTTCTACCTGTTTGTGCTTGCATATCCTTTGTGAACATTTTGCCATGTCAACAAATACGATTTTCACTCTTTTTGGTACTGTGTCAGCTTTTTACATTGAACAAGTACCACTTTCATATTAGAGGGGTAAAAAGCTAGTTTTGTTTTAAAATTCTTCAACCCGATTTTAATTTTTTTATATATCTTTATTGATTTCAGAGAGAGGAAGGGAGAGGGAGAGAGAGAGATAGAAGCATCAATGATGAGAGAGTCATTGATCGAGCCCATAACCCGGGCATGTGCCCTGACCGGGGCTTGAACCCCGATCGCCTGGATCCCAGGTCGATGCTCAACCGCTGAGCCACTCCCGGCCGGGCTCAACCCGATTTTTAAAAGACTACCTGCATTTCCATTTTCTTCTTATGAGGTCTTAAACAAATCCTTTCCCCTCCTGGGACTCATTTTCCCCATATGGAAGTGAGATGTGGGTAGAGAGGGGCCAGAGTTGGACCCGATCAGTGTTTTTCACATTCAGTTTCAGCAGAGCTCAGACCTTTCTCCCCTCTACACCCAGAGTCTGTGTTTTATATAGTGGAGTTATAAGGAAGATTTTATTTGCCAGTGTTTCCTGAAAAAAAGTTGAAAACCAAGGGACTAAAAACTCTCTGAGAAATACACAAAATAGGTTTTTAAAGTTCTGATCACAAGAAAAAAGAAATTGTAACTCTGTGGTGATGAATGTTAACTAGACTTATATTGTGATTATTTTGCGATACATCATTCTGTATACCTGAAAATAATATGATACATGTCAGTTATATCTCATTTTTAAAACTCTGTGGATATTTCTAGCTCTGACAGTTGAGGGTTCTAATATTTGGCCATTGTTTTATTTATTTGTTAATCCTCACAGAGGGTATTTTTTCCATTGATTTTTAGAGAGAGTGGAAAGGAGGGAGGGAGGAAAGGAGGAAGAGAGAGAGAGAGACATCCACGTGAGAGAAACACATGGATTGGTTGCTTCCCACAGGTGCCCCAGCAGGGCTGGGGAGCAACCCGCAACCCAGGTATGTGCCCTTGACCCGGAATTGAACCCGAGACTGTGCAGTGCTCAGGCTGATGCTCTAACCGTCACGCCACAGCAGCAGGGCTATTTCTTCACTATCTTAGACGGCCAAGGCCCAGCTCATCCAGGATCTCCTGAGTGGAATGAACACTGACAGTGTTTGCAGAGCTGCTTTTTTTGGCTGTGGTCTTAGTGATGACGAGAGGAACTTCCCTTCCCTGAGAGGGTGAATCTAATTGATCCGTCTGCCTTGCATCTTGCCAAACACAGTCATTAAGCCTGGTGCGGCTCTTTAGAATCACCGTCCGGTGCCCGTGCCATAGCACAAGCAGCACAGTGTACTGCAATGCATCCGGCTTGGCATCCGGCTAGACCCGGGTTGGAATCCCAGCTCTGCCAACTTAATAGCTTTGTGAACTTTAGCAAATGACTAAACTTTTCTGACCTTAGTTTCCCCATTTTTCCTTTCTGTGAGATGGGCCTAATTGTCCCTGTCACACAGAACACTGTTGTGTAGTGAGAGAATGTATGAAAGGCCCTTGGTGCCACCTAGAACAGAGGGTGGACCAGGTGCTCTTTGAGAGCATTCAGACAGCACTGCGTGTTCATTGCTTCTACCTTCATTCTTTCTGTAAGTCTGTGAGCTCACAGAGAGCAGAGACATTAATCTTTGCCCATAATGCTGGCCACAGAATTGGGCTCAGCAAGTGTTTAGTGAACTAGTGAACAGATGTGGAAAATAGATTGAAGACAGCTGCCCCTTGGCGCCTCCGTGATACACACCCCTGGAGCAGAATGGAGTGGCCCTGGGAGTGGGAAGAGGCTGCTGTTCCCCAGTCTAGCGCTTCCCTATTGGGTGGAGGCCATGGAAGGGACATCTCAGCTTGATCTCTGGCTGGCCCAGTGAGGATGGGCATCGCTAGCTCAATTATAGCTCTGCTGCTGACCCATTGCAGAAACTTGGGCAAGTCCCTTCCCTGGCCTCAGTTGGCCCTGATGGCCACTACTGGCTCTTCTAGCACTTATGTCCAGTGACTCAATTTTTCTGGGTCATTTAGAAGAGGGTGCTTGCGAGCATTAGGGACCACAGCTCTCACTGCCCTAAGCCCCCTGTGATGCAGACTCCCTTCTCTTTCAGATGCATTTCATCTTCTCAGATAAGGTGGTGCTGCTCTTTGATTTCTGGAGTGTCCACACTCCTGCAGGTAAGAACTGGGAAGCCTTCTAGCTCCAGATAATGGAGAACCTGGGTTCTCTTTATTGGTAGGCTCTGTGGACATTTAAGTGAGCCTGACTCCTCATGCATAAATATTGAGTGGGAACTTTGCATTTTCGGTTCTCTTTGCAACCACTGCCCTTCAGAGTGTAAAGGGCTCCATTATCTCACTCATCTTCACAGAGGCCCAGAGAGAGGCCAGGGATGCAGCTTTTCCCTCGATTACAGGGAAGGAACTGAAGCCCACAGAGGAGAAGAGACTTACCCAGGGTCACACACCGAGTAAGGAGTAAACATCAGAGCCTGAACTAGATCAAGGCCTTCTGTTGCCTCCTAGCACCTCCCTCATCCAGGGTTTACTGTCCAGCATCAGCTCAAGTCCAGAGGAGCTGCTGCAGACTTAGATCTGAAACGAGACACCAATTTGAAAGAGAAGGGTATTCCTTGGACTTGAAAAGACAAGAGTTGGGCACTAATTCATAACGGAGTTATGTTTCATCTGAAACAATTGAGTCTTCACAATAGACTAGAAACTGCCCTCATGCCCATTATTGCAGGCGCTGATCAAATAAATATGACCATCCCTACAGTTACCATTCCAGTAATCCATCGTGGAGGAAACCTAGTGGTTTAAAGCAACAGCTGTCATTTAATTCTTCTCGCTGAAGGTTCTGAGTTGACTGGGCTCAGCTAAATGGTCCTCACTCAGTCTCACATGCAGGTATAGTCAGTGGCTGGAACTGGAGTCACCTTGAAGACATGGAGTCACCCTCATGCTTACTGATTGATGATAGTTGTTAGCTAGAACCTCCGCAGGGTGTGTTGGCTGAACGCCTATGTGGTGTCTCCATGACCTGGGCTTCTTTATGGCAGGGTGGCTGGGTGGCTGGGTTGCAGCAGCAAGTGAGGGTCCAGGAGAACAAGGGGGAAGTGCATGGGGTTTTTAAGACCTAGCCTTGGGAGCCACAGAGCATCATTTCTACCTTTATTGACTGAGACAGTCACAAAAGTCTTTTCAGGGTAAAAGGGAGGGAACATGGATCCCCATCAGTTGATGGCAGGAGTGTTGACATTGTACAAGGAGCATACGGGGTGGGATATAGGGAGGTGGCCATCTTTGGAAAATATCATCTGTCACAGATACTCCGAAGCTACAGAAATAAGGTAGATCTGTGGGAACTAAGAGGAGCCCAGTTGGATGACAGATACAGAAGAGTTTGCACAAATAGGATGCTGTCATTCAGACAAATAAAGGCTTATATATACAGAGTGGGGCAAAAGTAGGTTCAAAGTTGTGAGTACGGGAAACTGTGTTTATTCTTGTATTATTTATGAATTATTGTATTATTTTCCATACAAACAACTGTAAATCTACTTTTGCCCCACCCTGTACATTGCATAATCCTAGGCTATTCAGGGTATTGCTAACAGGCCATTCTGGCGAGAGAAACTGGAGTTTGGGAGCCTGGGCTGGGAAGACTTTTCACTGCATACCCTTTTGCACGGTTTGAATTTATATCATGTGCATCCAATTACTTGTAATTTTATATTTAGAAAACCTGCCTCTTTTGCAGATGGTTTCTTCCTGGGAGCCCAATAAAATCCTATAGCTGGATCATTTAGTGTCCCTCCACTTGACAATAGAAGTAGCGATTAGCAATTAATCTTACACAGCAGCTCTAGTAAGCACTTAACGTTTTTGGTAAAATAATTGTTTTTTTCCATTATTATGAAAATAATACAGTAGAGATTTTGGAAAATTACATGAGAAGAAAATAAAAACCTCCTGTGTCCGAATTTGCTGAAATGATTATGACTCCTTTGCTGTTTCTCCTTCCTTCCAGACTTCTTCTGTACATGTGCGTAAACGGGACGTTGCTATAAATGCGTGTCCCTTTAACAGGAAGTCCTGATAGATTTGTGCCACCTGTGGGGCGCACAGCTGGGGGCGGTGGTGCATGGCTGCCTCACCCTCGGCCCCTGGCTTTTCCAGGCACATACTCTTCCTGATCTCAGAGCCACACCCCAGTGGGCCAACCCTACCAAGAAAGGGGAGCAGTGTTTGCCTGGCCAGGTCTCTGCAACTCTGCTTTCTTTGACAGGCATGGCTCTTTCGGTGGTGGTGGTCCTGCTCCTGGCTGTGCTATATGAAAGCATCAAGTTTGGCAAAGTGAAGCTGCTCCACCAGGCTCTGAAGAACATGTCCATCTCCACCAGCGAGCAGCATGAGGAGATGAACGGGGATTCTTCAAGCTCAGAGTCATCATTGAGCAGACCCCCAGTCAGCAGACCCCCTCTCAGGTAACAGGCACCTGGTGTGGGGAATGGGAAGAGTATTCACATTCACCTGGAGAGGTAGGCAGCCCAGAGGGCATTAACCCCATGGCACAGAAAGGAAATTGAGGCCAGGACTTGTCAAAGTGCTTGCAGTAAATAAGTTAGTATGTAGTGAGGTGAACTAGAGCTCAGGTCTCCTGATGCCTAGGCCAGAACTTGTTTTATGAACAGCCACTTGGGAGGCTCAGATCTTCAGAAAACTCTGGTGCAGGCCTTAGTATAGCAACAAGGGTGTCCACCCAGCCCTCCCCTAAATCCCATTAGGCTTTCTCAAGTCACTAAGGCTTCCAAACCCAGGGTGGATTGCAGCTGTCCCTACAGCAATGTATCCACATTGGTGGGAGAGCAAGCAGCCTCTTCTGCCCTGCGCTTCCTTCCCTTCCCATTCTGACAGGGCAACCATTTGGGGTCCCAGTTCTGCCCTCTCCCCAACTCCAGCTGTGTTTATTGAGCCTGCCTACTCCTTACATGGATGGCTCGAATATTCACCACCATCCTACAAGGGAGGTATTATTTCTGTTTTACTGATGAGATTTAAGTTCAGAAAGGTTAAGACATTTGTGCTAAGACACATAACTAGGAATTGATCTATCATCAGAGTCCATGTTCTTACCATTGTAATACTGCCCTCTACAGTCTATTCAGGAAAAACAAAAAAACAAGCAACAAACTTCCAAAAAAACACACCACAAAAAACTGCCTTACTGATAATTTTGTATTCTATCAGGCATGGTAAATTACATGTCTCATTTTCCCTTTTCGCCTAGGATGCCAGGAAGCTCAGAACTAAGTAGAGAAGTGGTTGTCCTAGGCTCCTTGTACAAGTCCCTCTCTATCAGTGGTTTCTGATATCTCTTTAAAAAAGAAATCTCTCCTGGGTAAAGCATACAAATTATAAATAAGCGAGTTATGTAACTCAGCTGCTCTTCCTACTTCCTGACACCAATTCGTAGCTTTCAGCTTATTACCAACAGTAACTTGCCTCTCCTTTTTATCTAGGTGGTTTTTGTGTCATTTTGGCCACTCTCTAATCCATGTCGCTCAGGTGATCATTGGCTACTTCATAATGCTGGCTGTCATGTCCTACAACACCTGGATTTTCCTTGGCGTGGTCCTGGGCTCGGCGGTGGGCTACTACCTAGCCTACCCATTGCTCAGCATAGTTTAGCTGGCGAGGGCTGTGCAGGCACTGGGGGCTGGAGAGATCTGAGGTGCCCCCTTCCAGACATTGTACTTCTGGGCTCAAGCTTTCTTTTTCTTCTGCTGGGTGCTCCTGGCCTCACTCCCCGCTCCTAGAAACTTTCAGCTGAAGCCAACACTTGCTCCCTGGAGTTCAGAGGCCACTGCAGCTACCTCTCTTCAGACAGGCAGCCCGGGCCTGGTCTTGTTGTGCCTTAGAAGGCTGCTGTGGTCAGTGGGATAATGGAGGGAACAGAAGCTGGGGGCAGGGCTGCCGAGCCCATGATGACTTATCTGTAACTCAGAACTTACGACTTTCCAAAGATCTTCAAGATGGGAGATGGGTTCTGGGTGAAGGACACGGACCCTGGATACCCTTTGCTCCCCTGACTTGTGCCTTATCTAGAGAAGCATCTTCCATTGGACTTCTGACCTCTTCTGACTTCGGGGGACAGAGACCAAGCTGGCTTTTTCTCACCTTTCTGCCTTTGGAACCTGTGAAGATTGTCTCTTCTATGGGTCATGCTGATAGAGTAAGATTTTTCATTTTCCCACTGAACTCGTGGTTGGCAATTTTGCACAATACGAAACAACTTTTAATGAAATGACTTCATTTTATTCATGATGGATGGCAGCATCTGCTGGGGCCCTTTGCCCTTTCTTGAGGGGAGAGCAAGTGACAGTGGATTAAAGGCAAAGAGGCAGGACTGTTGTCAAGGCACCTGTGGATAGAGCGAGCTCCTCCCATCGGTCGGCACTGCTTGCAGGACGAAGTGTCTAATGGCTTTAGGTGCCTGGGAGCTCTTTGGGGCCTTAATGCCCACTTTTATCCTGATCCTTCTTTGATGCAGAAAACTGTGGAACAATACTTAATGTTTTTAATTTGTTACTTACTGCTCACCCATAACAAACAGGATTCATTCACTTAAAATCCCAAGTAAGCCAAGGGGGGTGGTATTGGCTGAAGAGGCAATAAGCAGTCGAGCCAAAGCGTTACATTTGTAGAGCGAGATAGGGCTCTCCAGATGTGTGAACCTCTGCACTTTACAGAAAAGGAAACAAGACCCAGGAAGAGAAGCCACTGCTGTGTACTGAAATGTCTATGCTCAGGTACCTCGTGGGCTACATGAAAGATGGTCTTAAGCTTTGCGAATTAAAAAAAGAAATACATTTTAATAAATATTTATTTTTCAATAGTGTGTAACTGTTCATTCAAACAGCAAGCACATGTAACCCTCACAGCAACTGCAGGAGCCGAGTGGGCGAATGGAGCTGGTAGTGCTGGCTATAGTCTGTCCATTTGCCATGCACACAACTCTGTGCTCGGGGAAACCCAGCCCTGAAACGCTCTGCCCACAGTCAACAGTCATTCTTTTATTTTCTCCAGTCCTCCCCCGAGGGTATATTTGTTGGTTTTAGAGAGAAGGGGAGAGAGACATTGATCGGTTGCCTTCTGTATGCACCCCAACCAGGGGTGGAACCTGCAACCTAGTATGTGCCCTGACTGGGAATTGAACCAGCAACCTTTTGGTGCATGGGACATGGGACAATGCTTAACCAACTGAGCCACACTGGCCGGGGCTCAAGGCAAATTTTTAAATTTAATAAACACCTATATATTTGCCAGGCAGTGTTCGAAGCACTGTACAATATTAACTCATTTACTGCTCACAACAAGGTAGAATTCTGTCCTTGTCTCAGAAGTCACCCTCCTAAGCAGCAGGGCCAGGCAGCCTGGCTGCCTCTCTGAATGGCTTAATTGTCCTTTGCAAGGTGGCTGGAGGCGGGATGGTGTGTATGAAGTGCTCTACAGCAGAGCTGGCCCATTTGTTGAACCACCAAGTTTGGTGAGTGGTGGTTCTCACGGCCTCGGCCCCATGCGTGGGAGGCAGGCTTAAAGCTGGCGGCACAAAGGATGATGACAGGCCAGATAAGGGCATTCAGGCTCTTGTCAACACTTAAAATCAGGCACGTTTTTATTAAAATTGTTCTACTTTTTGAAGACTGGTTGCGTGGCCTTTGGGAGATCCTGGAAGAAGTAAAAACATTCCCTCACCCTGTTCTCTTCATCAGCCCTGGCCCCGAGTTCAGAGAATAGAAGCTGGTCTCGAAGTCTCTCAGGGCCAGGACAATGGGATGCGGGGGCTCGCCCGTCTTCTCTGCCTGGCCTCCTAGGGTAAGACCAAGCATGCAGGAGCAAGTGGATGATGGCACCGGTTCTGAGATACCCACAATGCCCTAAGCCTTAGTGCAGCTGGAGGAGCTGGGACAGCAGAGGGTCATTTTGTTTTGAAAGCCTGAAGTTCCAGAGTTAGGTACTGAAGGGAGTATGTCACAATGGTTTTATGCACGTTAACTGATCCAGATGTGTCACAACTCCTGCCCTTAGATTCCCAGAGAAGAGCACTGACAGCCCTTAGAACCAAATTCAATTTCCCCCCAAGAACTTGAGTCAAGTTTCATTATACACATTTATTTTAGTTTTGTTAATTCCAAAGATTTAAGGCAGAGAAAAGATAATGTGCCAGGAGTGCAGGCAAGACTGTTAACTGGGGCTTAGAAGGTACAATCAACCCTCCGCTTCACCCGGGAGACCTCACCCCAGGTGACAGGTCCTGTTGCTGGGGCACAGTTGAGTGTTGGGAGGAAGATGGAGGAGGCCTCCCCTCAGCAGTCTGAGAGTTAAGTGAAGAGAATAAAAAGCTTGCAAGAGGACAGGACACTTGTAGGTGACGGACTAGAGGGGAGCCTACCAACCCTTGAGGGACTAAGGCAGGACCACGGTCAGCTGTTGACCACCCCAGCGTCTGAAGACAGGCCCACGGTCCTCTTCACCCTGCCACACGGGGGCTCAAGACGCTGGCTAACTCAGATAGCTAATGTCCTCAGAATGCTCACCTTCACCCCACCCAGTGGCTCACCTAGGCCAGGGCCGGCTGTGCAAAATCATGCTTAGGGAGGGGTCAGTAGAGCAACCTTTGCATCAGTTTCCTGGGTCTTCATCCCAGTCAGAAAATGTCATCGTCATCATCTCCAAAAAAGAGTATTGGGGGCGGGCGTCCCTTCAAGCTCTGACAAAACAGGAAAGAGTAGTCAGTCCTCATTTGTTCCTGCACCAGATGGGCTTCCTGCCTGTGTAAGATGAAGTGAGCCAACATCCGTTCCAGCTCCAGGTTGGAAAGAAAGTGGCTGATTAGGGTTTTACTAAAAGGACTAACTCTGCGGCCAGCCAACCTCTGTTTCCAGAAAAGCTGAGAGCAGCAGGCAGAGAAGAGGCAATCTTTCAAGAGAGACAAGAAGACCAACTTTGGCTAATTTTGTAATTTATTTGTGAAACACATGTACTGATTTGACAGGTTCTCTCATGCAGTAACTTACATGTTTCGTGTGGAGAAAAAAGGGTCAAAGGGGAGAGATGGGAGTAGAAGGAAACAAAAGCAGAGCAGCCCTAAGAGAGGAGAGGATGCAGGAGGAAGGGAGGTTGGCAGGAACCCAATCACATTTGAAACACAATGTTGTGACCTAGGGTGGCCTGTCTGGCTCGTAACGTGGCCCCATCCTTTGAAAGAGCTGAATTTAGAGGTTCAGCCATAGGCAGAGAATCCCAAGAGATGAAAGCCCAGAACACGGGGCCACAGCCTCCCCCCCTGCCCCCCCGCCCCTTAGTCACACTGGCCCCTTCCTTACCCTCTCTGACAAGGCAGCAGGGTGAGGAGGGTTAATGGGCCACGGAGGAGACTCTCGCCCTTTTTCATGACTTGAGCTCCTGGCCTTTTTCTTCTGGATTGGCAGGGAACAGGTCCCATGGGGATAGCAGGGACTAACAGTGGAGACAGGCACAAACTGAGTATTCTCTACCAAGGTCCTTTCTGCTCTGGTGAGCTACTCTGGCCCAGGATCTATCTTCACAGGGCCAGCCAAAAGGTCAGGGGTGCCTGGGCTAATCCCTTCCCCACCACCAACTAATGGACTGTGTACCTCTCTCTGGGCATCAATCAAGTCATCTCCAGACTCTGACAGGTGCATCGCTTTGGTTTTGTTCCAGCTAAAATTCTGGCTCTGTATTTACCAGCTATATAACCTTGGACATGTTACTTAATCTTCCTAAGCTTCAGTCCTCTTTCCCAGAAAATGGGGCAAAAGTGCCAACCTCACTGGATAAGTAGAGGAGTAAATGAGAATGTCTGTGAACTAGTTTTCAGAATACCCAAGAAACAGTGTCAGTACTGATGGTATTAGTGTCCGTACCAAGAATATACTGCTTATAATATTATGTAGTTGGAATAATGAAGTATTCCAACTATACTTAGGGCAGTCACGTGGGCTCCATTTTTTAAAGTACAGAGTTCGTATTCAGAACTCTTAAATGAAAATTTAATTCTTGGGAAGAAGGCTTAATGGGAGGAACTGGGACACGTTCCCCACAGGAACGCAGGCAAGGGGAAGGGTTCTGGTCCACGGCCATTTCCCAGGGTTTTGGCAAAAGGGAAAACCCCTCTGGTTAATACACTTGCCCCCACTCGCCTCATATTTCTGTTCCTGGGATAGATTGAGCGTAAAGCTGACCTGTGATCCCACACCCACATTTCACTCTAGTAAAATTCCCATCGCAGCAGTCAAAATGCCCCAGTGACAGCTGAAACCGCTTTAACTTAGCATGATGGGGACAGCAGCTGCAGGAATCAGGGCTCTGATCAGGCTCCATCAGCAACTCGCCCTCCTGGCCTTCACTCTGGAGCTTTGTAACTCGAGGCTATGCCATCACTACTTAACCCATTTTCTGCCCAGGAATCTTGTGAGGACAAACAAGGCAGCAGGCTGGAAAGCAGGCTGAGGAAGCAGAAAATGCGCAGAAACATGTGGTCATAGTAGGAGTCTGAGGGTTTAGTCCTAGCTCTGCCACTAAGCCATTCTGTGGCTTTAGGTAAATAACCACCCGTCTGGGCCTCCGTTTATCTAAGAATAAGGATGCCAGACAGGATAGTCTTCCAAGTCCTTCCCAGTTCTAAAATATAAACAATATGCTAGCTGATTTGAGAAAACCCGTGGCTTTAGCATTTTAACATAGGACTCATCAACCAACTTTCCTCACAGTAAAAATCATCCCTGCACGGACAGAGATCATGGTCCTTGTTCAAGAATAAAGTGGTATCTGACCATCCCCATGGTGCTTACAAAGCTGCCCCCTCCCAGCCCCAAGCCTGCTCCCACAGGGCCCTGCACACAGAGCCCAGGGAGTGGGCCACCAACAGGCTCCATTTCCCTTCTCGGAGCGCGTGGGGAAGGGTCGCCAGGTAGTGGCGTGAGGACCTGGCAGTGCCTGGGATCTTCTTACCACCTCGTCTTCCTCCTCCTCAGACTGTGCTTTGGACTTTGGAACTTTCAGAGTTGCCCCTTTAAACAGCTCATCCTCTTCATCCCCAGAGAGACTGAGAGAAAAATCAAGAAAATCAATTCACAGAAAATGTTCCTGCTCCAGACCACTGTGCCCACAGGCTCTGAGGTAAGAATCCAACAGCCGTGCCCGGCCAGCATGGCTCAGCGGTTGAGCACTGACCTAGGATTCAGGAGATTCCCAGTCAGGGCACATGCCCAGGTTGCGGGCTTGATCCCCAGTGGGGGCATGCAGGAGACAGCCAATCAATGACTCTCTCATCATGGATGTTTCTCTCTCTCCTTTCCTCTCTCCGAAATCAATAAAGATATATTTAAAAAAGAATCTAACAGCTGTGGTAACCACCCAGGAATTCCTCCCACACTGGCCTCCTCTCACTCTAGACTCCCTCCATAACCTATAGGCTGAGAGAGCTTTGAAAACGAATAAATCAGACCAAGTCACTCTTCTACTTAAATCCCTTTAATCCACTGTACTCAAAGTCCAAACTTCTAACAGTGACACAGTATCTCATATGACCTGGCCCTTACCTAGTTTTCCAACATCAGCTTAACACCCCTCTCCTCCTACTACTATGCCTTCTTCTAGTTCCTCGTGTCATGTCCCTTCAGACTACAGGGCCTTTGCATGTGCTCTTCTCACCTGCAGTCTCTTCCTCCCACTCTTGGCATGGAAGTCCCCTTTCCATCTTTCAGATCTGTTTAAATTTTACCTTCTCAGAATCTGTCCCTAACCACCTTATCTAAAGCAGAGTAACTCCCCCTTTACTTTCTATTATACACCGTTTCTTTTTTGGTACTGACCACACTTTTATAATACTTTTATAATAGTCCTTAACTCAAGAGCCAAATCTGCTTTGCCTAGCACACAATCACAGTGCCTACAGAGCCTTTTATAGTAGGTATCACTGAATAAATACATGTATGAATCCATGAACAAATGAATAAGTGAACAAGTCCATCAGTCAGTCTCTGAGGGATGAGTTGCCAGTCCTGGAAAAACCAGAGACAACCCTGCAGACACCTTGTCCCTGAAACTCTGCTCAACGGGACATACCTGGGACGTGGAGAAGAGTGGTTGGGTCCAAGTGCTGCTCCTGTAGCTGTAGAATCTGCCTCTGTGCTTAGCAGCTCCCTGGAGAGACCAACAGAACTAATAATATCTTCCTCTTTCTTGAATTCTGGAGGCTGAGGCTCTCCTCCTGGACTTTCCAGCTCCAAGGGCAGTGGGTCCCCATTCTTAGAGTCTGAAGTCAGGGCCAGTCTCATGGGGCTTTCTTGCTCCCCAACAGAGGCGTTTCCCAATGGGCCGGCAACAGGTGTCTCCTCACACTCAGAGTCCACAGTTACAGGGCCCGGAGGCTCAGGGGGAATCGAAGTTGGGGGCCCCAGAGCTCTTTGGGAGGGGATGCAAGCCAGTTCGGGTGGGAGCGAATCATTTTTTGTATCTGAGAGTGCCTCTGCTTCTGTGGGGTCCCCTTTCCTTCTCTGTACATCCTCCTGGGGGGTGGGGAGGGCCTGAGGAGGCAATGGGTCAGCTCCCTTGACTACCTCCGATGGCACCATGGGGGACTCCCACCTATCCCTACTCAGGGGTGCTTGAGATGGCCCAGAACTGGCTGAGACTGGCTCCTGGGAAGGTCTTTGAGGTCGCTCTTCTTCCTCTTCCTCCTCCTCTTCATTGCTGCTCTCTCCCTTCTCTTGCTCATGTTGGTTTAACAGCTGAAGAGTCACCATCTGTTCAAAAGCCAAGGAAGAGATGATCACTGAGAGGAAATCAGCAGGCATGCCTAGCTCTCCAGACCTTATTAACACAGCCAGTTGACTAGTTCAAATGACTTTGCTTCTTCCTCTCTCACAGGAGGCTGTCCATCTGTCTGGATAAAAGTCATTCCAGGTATCTGAATTACTGATAAACAGTCTTGAATCACTTTTTACTCACGACCCTTAACAGGGGTGGGGAACCTTTATTCCACCAAGGGCCATTTGGATATTTATAATATCATTCGCGGGCCATACAAAATTATCAACTTAAAAATCAGCCCAGCCGGGCGTGGCTCAGTGGTTGAGCGTCGACCTGGGATCCAGGCGATCGGGGTTCAATTCCTGGTCAGGGCACATGCCCAGGTTGGGGGCTTGATCCCCAGTCGGGGGTGTGCAGGAGGCAGCCGATCAATGACTCTCTCATCGTTGATGTTTCTCTCTCTCTCTCTCTACCTCTCCTTTCCTCTCTCTGTAATCAATAAAGATGTATTTTAAAAAAAAAACCAAAAACTTAAAAATCAGCCTGCTATATTTGGTCAAGCATTTAATTAACTCACCCCTAATGTGATAGCTGGATTTGGTAAGGCCTTGGCAGGGCCAGACGAAATGATTTCATGGGCCGAATTCAGCCCATGGGCCGGACGTTCCTCACCCCTGCCTTAGAAGGTACTTAAGTAACGAGATTCCCATTTCAACGCAACAATCTGCAGCTGGCTGTACCTTGATAGTATTCATGATGGTCCCCAGAATGGTCCTGCCATCGTACAATTCCTCCAGTTCAAACTCTCCCCTCAAGGACTGGAATACCTGGTTCATGATCTTCTTGACCTGAGTGAAGATGTGAGGAGAGAAACAGTATCAAAATGTATGCTGCCCAAATCAAGAGATGGAAATGCATGTAAATTCCAGAGAGAGTTTGGAAGGCTAAAATGAAGCTTTCTTAGAACTCTATAGTAGGATATGCTGGTCATGAACTCAGACACTGCATAGTCACTGTACAGAGAACAATGCCAAGTAACAAGCTGCACTTGATGGAAGGGCTATCAAGGACAGGTCAGCTGTGGTGCATGTGCCCAAGACAGTTTACAGACCGTTTATTATTGTCTCCCTCCCACTGTAGCCGCTCTAGAGCTGCCATGGGCTCCAGGATTAGTGGCTAGCAGATGCTGAGCACATTCCCCACTCTTCTCCTGGGATTTAGAGGTACTTCCCATATTTGTCAAAACTTCAGGATAGGGCCCTTAGGGTTTACCACCAAAGTGACAGGTTCCAAAGGGTTAACTTGTACTTAAGTCAGACAAGTGGTACATCACTGAAGCTGGGGGAAAAAGGTATCACAACACTGGGCCACATTCTTTCTGCACACCGGTGTGGCAGGGTTTGCTGCTGCCTCAAATTACCAGCTCACCTTCTCTGACGAGGCAGCAGCAACTTCAACCCCAGACACCTGGGACTTATTTTGCTCCAGGTCCTTGACATGCTGTTCATTTTGCTCCGTCAGGGTTGTGACTTGGGCCTGGAGGGCTAAACACTGCAAAACAAACAGATTGTGGCTGTGGGCTCGGGAACCTGGACGACCAGGTAAAAGTCAGGAAACAGAGTAGGAGGAACAGCCCAAGCATCAGATATCAACTTCACGTGGGTCTGCTGCTGTCCACCCCTCCACCCCCACCCCAGGCCCACTGACTCAGAGCACCTATTTCCTCATTACTCAATCTCAACTCACAACTTCACCTCCTCTTTCCCAACAAGGTCACTTGCCATGCTCCTAATCAGGTCAAGAATATAACAAAAAAAGGGGGTTATAACTCTAGTCACATAACATATGAACACTGGACATTAGAAGCAACCTATTCACCTACAAGATTGCCTTCACCATCTTTGAGTCAAAGATTTTCAACTGGATACTTTAAGGAAAGAAACTGACCTCCAGATGTGAGGACTTGCATACCATGAACCTAAGACATCTCTCTCTCTCATTTTTATGCCAAGATGATTCCACCACACCATGCTCCACCCTAGAGCTGAGCTGTGCCTTTTCCCAGAATGTTCTGCGGCCTCTTCACCTTACCAAAGCTACCTGTCCTTCTTGGTTCTTCTTCTCTGGGCACTTCCTCTTTTGGGCCTCCCAGAACTTAATGCTCACATGTGTTGCTATCTTGTCCCCCTTTCTTGACACTGAGGTTCTTGAGGGCAGAGTTCTCTGTAAGCCCCTTCCCTAACACTGTGTTGGAACATAACCGGTACTCAATAAAACTAGCTTAATAGAGAAGAACCAAGTCATAATGGAAAACATGCTCCAGAACACCAGTGCTGCTTTTCTTTTTGTAGGTCACTCACCTGCCATCCCAAATAAATATGTGAAAGGTTACTGTGGAGAGTTGAACAAGAGTGATTTTGTTTTCAAGCTATTAACATCTTTAGGCTCAAAAGAACCTATGAGACTCAGACAACCTGTTTGTTTCAAATTAACTGGGTGGCCTAAGCTGTTGGGCCCCGGGGGAAACGCCTACCTTCTCCTGAAGCTGGAGCAGCTTCTGCTGGCTGGCGTCTCTCTGTGCACACACCTCCTGATATTGCTGCAGGTGTTCATCCTTGGCGGAGGCCAGCAGGTGTTCGCATTTTGCTTCCCACTGGGTCTGCAGCTCAGCCTGTACTAGAGACAGCTACCAAGAAAATATAATCACTATATCCTGGGGATCCAGCTGCATCTAGAGAAGCCCATCTTTTATAAGGCAAAACAATAAGCTAAAGCCCAGCTTCATAGGGAAACAACTGTTTGGAAGACCTTGATTACTTTGAAAGCAAATGTACTTTTTTAAGGTAAGTAGGAAGATGTCATTAGTTGTCAGGACTCCAAAGGGTACTGCAACCAGATAAAGGTGAGACTGTATAGACAGGTTCCTAGAGGGAAGGGCCATAATGTGATTATCCTTTTCAGGGTCCAGGCCCTAAACTTCATAGGGTCAGAAGAGACTTAATTTTGTCAAAATTCACAGAGGTAATCAAACTGAGGACACCTATTCACTCTAATTAAATGGGCAAATGAATATGAATGTATGAACTTCTAAGGAGAAAGATCACTGTCAGATGGACTAGAGATCCAGCTGTGTTCTGCCACTATCCCTGGGTTCCCTGCCTGATTACCTAAATAAACCCCTTTTTTTGAAGGGCAATAATGTGTGTGAAAGATGATATCTGGTGGTTGAGAACTTTAATCTTATTGTGTTTGGGATTTTTTTATAAAGACTTTTTTCAGGTTTTACTTATACTTAAATTTCCACTAAGTTTTAAAAACAGAAAGATTATCTGCTTCATTCCTGCCTCTTCTGCATATGCAGGGGTGGGCAGAAATAGGCTTACAGTTGTGAGTATGCCAGTTCATTCTTGTACTATATATTAATTATTATATTATACATTTGTATTATTTGTCTTATCACTGTTATTACTTCGCATCCTTACTTACGATTTATCTTTTAGGTAATGATGGCTGGTCATTTAACCTACTTTGCCCACCCCTGTATTTGGATTGTGTTCTCCTACCTTCCCCTAAAGTGAGAGGACTGACTATGAGAAATATCATCATAAAGGATAAAGAAGAAACTAGAAACTTTGCTGAGTCCTTCATGCCTTCCTTTTACTTCCAAAGTGCTCAGTTTCCCATTACCTGCTCTGTAGCTGCTTGGTCTGTGGACACCCGGGCCTTTTTCAAGAGCTGTCGAAGTCTGTTCAATTCCTCCTGGTGTGACTTGCGAATTTCCTCTATTTCCTCCTCGGCCTGACAGCGCTCCTGAGCTGACTTCTTTTTCCTTTCTGAGAGGTTCTAAGGAACGAGAGAACCATCATCAGCTCTAGCTGGAATAGGGGATAAATGAAGATGGTGGTGGAAGTGACTGACCTTACTTGGTCCTTATTTCATGGCTGGAAACAATGAATTTTTTAGTTTAATTTTCCCTATATATTTAACATTCTTGGCTACTGGGTGAGAAAAATTGTGACAAGGAGGAAAACAGTAAGAGGTTTAACTATAATTCTATTAAGAGGTGGGAAACATTTCTACAGTGAAGCGGACACTTTCATGCCCTGCTGGCAGGAAAATAAATGGGTATACTCTCTTTAGATGGTAATTTGGCAGTCCTGTGAAAAGACTTTGAAATACGTGCACCCAGAAATTCCACAAATTAGAATTTAAAATAAATCATGTTCATAAAGACTGTATTACAAGGATCTACAACAATAAAAAACTGAAACCAGCCAAAAAATCAGAATGAATTGGTTTTATAAAACCTGATAAAATCATAGAAGAAACTAAAAATGGAGCATAAGATTTATCCCCTAAAAGGCACTAGGCTGAAAGGGCTTTATTGGAGAGTTTTACTGAAGCCTCAGCAACAGTTTGTTCTTTTTATATTTAAACCATTCCAGAAAATAGAAAAACACAGAAATGTTCTCATTTTGCTGAATGGGCTGAAATTACCCTGATATTAAAATTTTAACACAATGAAAGATACTATAAATAAAGTTTAAAAACAAAAAACTAGAAAAATATTTGTGGCATCTATGACTGGCAAAGATCAATACCCTTATTAGTGTTTCAAATAAAACTAATATTACAATACGAAAGAGGGCAAAGGAAAGAGGGCATGGAAGAAATACAATTAGGTATTAAATAAATGAAAGCTTTACTACTAAGATACATATTAAAACAAGATAGCATTTATCACCTATCAGACTGTAAGATTAGAAAAACTGATACATGCAGATTTGGAAATTGGATGGAAAAATGGGTTTGCTCACATAGTGCATTTAACCTGGCAATATTTTTTTTTTAAATTTAGATGTGGCCCGGCCAGGCGTGGCTCAGCGGTTGAGTGTCGACCTACGATCCAGGCGATCAGGGTTTGACTCCTGGTCAGGGCACGTTCCCTGATTGTGGGCTCGATCCCCAGTCAGGGGTGTGCAGGAGGCAGCCAATCAATGACTCTCTCATCATTGATGTTTCTATCTCTCTCTCTCTCCCTTTCCTTTCTTCTCTCTGAAATCAATAAAGATATATTAAAATAAAATAAAGCCTGGCTGGGTGTGGCTCAGCAGTTGAGCATCGACCTAGGATCCAGGAGATCAGGGTTTGGTTCCCGGTCAGGGCACATGCCTGGGTTGTGGGCTAGGCAGCCGATCAATGACTCTCTCATCATTGATGTTTTTATCTCTCTCTCTAATCCAGCAATTCTAATTCAAACAATCCATTTTATGAGAATGCACAAATAAATTTGGAAAAATAATTATATAGTACAAGAATGTCCAAAGCAGCAATGCTTGAAATAGTGAAAAAATAGAAACATAAATATCTATCAATAGGTGAATGGTTAAGTATGTGATGGTGCAGCCTCACAGAAGACTACTATGTAGCAGCTAAACAAGACTGAGGAGTTCTCAGTGTTATCAGAACAATGTCCACAATGTTGTGAAAAAGCATTAAACATGATCCCATTATCAGTGTAGCTATGTGAATGTATGTATGAGTATGTATGTATGTTTTATACACACAGAAAACAATCTAGAAGGGTAAGCACACATTGTTTATAGTTGTTATCTCTAACATGAGATTAAATGGGGGGGGAAATAAATTTTATTTTTATTTTATACTTTTTTCTTATTTGTAATCTTTAAAAGGAAATTAAAAATGTGTATTAAACAGCTAACCCTAGCCAATGGGGTTCAACAGAGAAACTTCAGTTGTAAAACTTACCTTTTCCAGAGACTCCTTCTCAGCTCGAAGGTCAGTCAGCTCTTCCTCCAGCGCTGTCACCTTGAGTTCCAGTTGCCTCCGACTTTGCTTTTCACTTTTGAATTTGGACTGTGTTTGCTCAGAGGTTTCTTGGAGCTCTGGGATGTAACAGCAGAGAGACTTAGCTGCAGAACCAGAGCTCCAGTGGGCTATACAGCAGCCCAGAAGCTTCTTCAAAGCTGCATTCTGTGATCTCCCAGTCCAACCACATGGGTATCTTCCCCTTAATACTTTCAGTATCACCTCTCTGACCAGCAATAGATTCATCAAGCCATATACTGACTCCCCCACTAACCCGTATTTATCTCTGTATGTTTATTTCACATTCCACACATACAAAATGGAAAAGTTCCAAGCAGTCAAAGACCACCTTAAAAACATATCACTCCCACAGTTCCACTGCAGTCACTGCCTCGGCACACTGGACAGATGTTTGGTATTGGTCCAGCCCTTTCCACTGCTTGGGTAAGATATTCTCAAGCTTCTCAGTAGCTGAGGCATTCTACCAAGGGTTTGCTTTCAAAATATCCCTTCTCAAATAAAGCTATTTAAAATATCTCTTAAAAATGTAATGTATCAACATTTACTTTGTTTGGAAAACTTTTGAGACACTATGACACTCTTGAGGTAACCGTCACAGGGCACCACAAAAGCAGAAAAGGTATCTGTATGACATTCAGATCTAAGCCTCTCTCTCATGTGTACCCAGGTTATGCTCTAAAAGAAAAGGGATTTATCTTCAAGATATCACTGTACCCACTGACAGTGTTTTTTAGCTATCAGGCAGTGAACTCTGCTGCTGCTCCAGCTACACCCACTGGCCCCACCTGTGCTTCCACATTTGTCTCTATACGCTGAGCTGGTGAGTCAACATGTTGGACTTCCTAAACCTTCTATTCAAGTCACCATGGCTTGGGCACCACCTTTGTGCCAGGCACTGCATTAATACTAATTTGGAGGAAAGGACTTTACAAAGGGGAGAAAGACACCACCACCCTTGCCCTCCAGGGGCTTGCATTCCAGACAGGAAAACATACATATGAATACTGCTGATCAAAGACAACATGTGAGAATGGTCGTAATGTCTGAGAGAGAGAATTATAAAGAAGATAAAATGTGGCAGAAAAAAATAAAGAAATCATCTGAGAAAGGCAGATTTTGGGGGGAAAAAAATGGAGACAAATATTGGTGATGGTGGGCACACCAAGTCCAGAGAACAGCATGGATCAAAAGTAACACAAGAACTACAGATGTACAGAGCCAGGACGAACTGAGCAACATGATGGGAAATAGGCCAACTGGAGGGGCTGAGTGCCATTCTCCAGGAGAGGGGCAACCAGTACAGGAAGTACGACTTCCATGAACTTCTACTGTGTCACAAGTTAGAGGAACTCTACCTTCCAGGCCTGTGAGGCCAATTTTAAGTACCAAAGGTATTGAAGGCAACACGTGGTCGAACAAAGTGGAACTGCGGCCACTGATCAATTCTAAATGAATAGTTTTTTGTTGTCTTTCACGTCAAACCATCACGTATGTACATTTATACTGGCCCACCTTTATTTTTGGCTCAGTCTTCACAAACTTCATGAGAGTTATGCCAAATGTCTTGAGAGGAAGAAAATGGTTTAATACCTTAAGTTTAAATGGTCAAAGTCCTAGCCCTCTCTGCAAAGGACACACCTGAGAGCTCGGCCTGCAGTTTGGTGAGCTGGCCCCTGAGGAGGTCTGTCTCCTTCGCGCTTTCTGTCAGCTGCATCTGCAGCTCTGTCTCTTTCTTTTGGTGAGCAGACATTTTCAGCTGCAGGTGAGAGACCTGTGCAGTGGCTGCTGCTAACTCTTCCGTCACCTTGGCCTGAAGAGTAACAAAGTATAATGTCACTTTAAACATGGGTGTTCTTTGTCTATAAGTGATGACCCAACCTCACATAGTCTATGCTGACTGAACGGGTAGGAAGGGAGCTAAGCTCACCTTTGAACTCATTAAACTAAAATCAAGACTTCAAAATGTACAAAGTGTCTGACTCAGGAATTCCCTTGCAGAAATTTGTCCTTAGGAAATATTTTGTAAGATTACAAAAATTTTGATACAAGGATGTTAGATATAGCATTGTATACAGTTGCAAAAGAACGAAAAAATTAAATGCTAAAAAATGGGCTTGAGTAAGCAAATTATGATACAACTCTCCTGTATGCAACTATTAAGAATGGTGTTGTCAAAGATTATTAGTGGGAAGCAGTCACAACCTATTGGTAAATGTTACCAATCTGATAACATGAGAAAAGGTATTCTTGCCATTTTCTAACTTCTCTACATTTTTTAAATAAAAAAGGGTATTTTAAAATTTAAACTAATTGTCTTCAATGGCAATTAACTTCTGAGTCTACAATTTCTCCCTGACGTCAAAAGCAGTACTTTAAAACGCTCTGGCAGACACAGATGAAGGAGCAAACTAAACAGTCTTAAATTTCACTAAAAACACTTGCTACATGGAATAATAGGAATTTTCTATTGATTCTGTCAACAGAGTAAATTTAGTTTATAATAAGCTGTGTAATTCTTACCTTAAATTACTAAGATCAGTGACTGTTTCTGAGTCACCTTACTGCAGAGCATATTAATGTAACATATCTGGGTAAGGAATATATTAAATCTACTGGAAGATTTCTAGTCTCTTCCCAATGATGGCAAAGACTCTGCTGAAGAGCAGATTGGCAAGTGCGCACACAGGACCACTCCTAGCGCCACACATCCTGACTGGGCTTTCCTCTCCCATGACTTTACCTTCTCTTGCTCAGCATGCAATACTCTTGCCTGTGTGTTTTCCGTGGCTGTCTGAAGGGAGTTGTTCCTCTTCTCCATCATCAAGTTACTCTGTTCAACATACCTATGAGATAATAGGGAAAAAGGAAACATTTATCAAGCACCAAATGTATTACAGCTGTAACCCAATGCATATTCAGTCCTCACAACATTGCTCTACACTGTCATGGAAAACAATCTGAAGGCATTTTCTTTCCCTCAGAGCTGCAGTAATCAAGTTTGGAGGCAGGAACCTGGGCTGGAGTGAACTGCTTTGAATTTGCATAATTAGGAGAGAAATTGGAAGGGTATGTGATGAGAGGAGGTGAGAAGGCAAGAGAGACTGAAGAAGGCTGCAAGGAGGAAGAAAAGAAAGCCACTCCCTGCCCTCTGCTGCATGAGAGACAAGAGACACTGAAGAAGAGAAATATGGGAGAATGATTTTTTAAAGTGAAATACTATATACTATGACGTGTGCTACTGACCATCCCCCCAAATCTTCAGAGGAATCTAGAAAAATGACAAAATACTTAGGTTTTATGTGGAAATCAGTGAAATTCTGTTTGATTAAATAGAGTCAGCCTACACAGAAGAGAGAAGAGTTGATACCAGTTTTCTAAGTATTAACACCACTTTTACAGATGCAGAAATTAGGGCCAGTAGTAATACAATGCCCAAAGCCAGGTAACAAATGAAGAGCAGAGCTGGGATTCAAACAGAGGTCTGCCTTACATCACAGCCTACTGAGTTCTTTCTACTGAAATGCCTCTCAGAAAACACGCAGTAATTCACATGACTGGCAGGAAACAGAAACAGAAACAGAAGAAATACAGGTAAACTGCCCTAAACAAACATGTTTACTTAACTTGGGGATTTACAAATTAAACCCTTTTTCCATCCTAGCTAGTGCCCCGTACCTGTCATTACCTCTGATTTCGTTCAATTAGTTCACTAATCTTGTCATTCTGTTCTTCTATCCGACTGCTCTTTTCTAGGACCTCTTGCTTCAACCTTTCATTTTCCTAAATTCAAAATGTATGATGTGTAACTTAAGAGAAAAGTGCCAGATAAAACAGTGACATTGTTACAAATTTTGAGACAAAAAACTAGAATATATATCCATATAGATATAATACTTAAAACAGCATATCAAATTATACCTGGTGGATACAAATCACCATGCCCAATAGATTAAACATACAAATGGCTATAAAATGAAGCAAAATTTTGAAATAGGGTCAAAGAGAAATGTTTCCTCCTGACTATATAGTGATAAGTCATTTGGACCAAATTAAGCAATAATGGATTTTCCAGAATTTCTCAACTCAGTGCAACATTTACCACATGCTCTTTATTTCCAGAGTGGAGGTTTTAAAGGGTGGTACATCCTGGGAGGGAGCAGGGCCAAGACCTACAGGCTGAGTATTCTGCAGGTCACCTCACCTGAATAATTCGCTGGATGTTGCTCATGATCATCTTTGTTTCCATTGTAACCGACATGCTAGGAATAAGCAGGGAATTGCCAGCACTATGCTTCTCTAACTCTTCAACCTACAAAAGGGGTGCCAGACAGATCTGTGAGAAATTTTTAAATGAAGAAATATAATGTACCCAAGATAGAACCACTTTTTGAGGGGGCTAATGAGTTTCTGAGACAATCTCTAATGTAAGCTAGAGTTTTCTTCTGCTAACTGGATCCCAAAATAATAATTATCCTTCTAGGGAAATAACTACTAACTACTATGAATATAGGAAACCAAGGAAGAGTTTACCTACAGCCCTGGTTGCTCCCTATTTGTACCCCCTGCTTGTACCCACTTTCAACATAACCCCCAACCTGGCTCAGTCACCTTAGTCATGAGATGATCCATTTTATCAGCCACTTTGCTGACTGCCATTCGAATTTCAGTGTTATGCTGTCGGGCTTCAGTCATGAGAAATGAAGCCATGTCACCAGATCCTAAACAGAAATAAGTAAAAAAGAAACTTAGGAAACTGGAGCAGAGGACATTGTATGAGGAAAAGCCAACAGCTCTCTCAGCAGAGGAAAGAAAGAAATGAACATTTCCAAATACTGGGAAATGCTGTACGTGATTCACACTTCAGGGTAAGATACAGGGCAGACAGAAGCACAAGGGCTCCAAAGCTAACAATAACTAAGCTACACTCCCGCAAAATGCATCGGGGATACAGGTTGGTCCAAGGGAAAAGGATGCTCACTTTGGTCTGCCACAGCACTAGCAGCTCAGATTATTTCTCCATCCATCCAACTGCGTGCCAGGCATTGGTACCAGGTACCAGGGATACAGAAATAATAAAACATGGTTCCTGCCCTTGGCAAGCTCACAGTCTGGTGGGAAGAGACTCACATGTAAACAGATCATTACAACATAGTGTTTTAAGTGCAAAAAATGGACCATGTACGAGGTACAAAAGGAGCACAGAGAAAGCAAGATTAACTCTTTGGTGACACGTATACACAATCATGTTTCTGGGAAGAGAGGAGGGAGGGAAGGCTATACAGAGATGACAGGTTTCATGGTTTCCCAGATGGAGAGGAATGGGGCTTCCAGATGAAGGCTGCGCCCAGGAAACCCATATGTTATGTTATAGGATATACTTGCTTCTTCCAACCACTATCCTAATGGCAAAGATGATTATTATGCAAAAGAAAGCTAAAGAACAAGAAGCTAGGACACCATCTCAGCTGTTAACATTTATTTTATTTTGTTTTGTTTTATACACAAGAAAACCACACTTGTACATGCATACAAGATATCTGAAAAGTTACCCAAGTAACTGTTAATAACAGTTTCCTGTGGGCAGGGGGTTTTAATGATGGAGGACAGTACTTTTCACTTTACACCCTTTTGTGTTTGACTTTTTAATAAAAACATATTATTTTCATAATTTAAAAATTTTAACAAATCAGCTTTCATTTGAGATACTGAACATCCACAAGAGTCATCATGCTTTCTCTCAATTTCCTCCAATATTTTACTATTTTCTATAAACTCTACAGAGCTACTCTGACAGAGGAATTAAAAAGGGCTGGAGGGAGAAATGCAAGAAATAAAACCCAGAAAGTGGGATGAGGGTTTTTGGAGGGATGATGGAAATGTTCTAAAATTGGATTGTGGTGATGGTTGTACAACTCTGTAAACTTACTAAAAAATCATTGAATTATACACTTAAAATGAGCGAATTGTATGGTATATAAATATCTCAAGAAAGCTAATTTTAAAAAGATAAGAAAAAAAGGGCAGAGATCTATTGGAGTAAACACGAAAAATGGATGGAAGGAAGGAGAGCACAGGAAGAGAAGATGAGAAACTAAGGGGATCTCTCCCTACCTTGAAAATGGGGAGACTGAGAGAGCGGTGCTGGGTACAAGGGCCGAACAGGCTGCAGCTGGGAGGTGACCGTTGATGCCTGGGGATAACTGTAGGCTGGCATACCTGTATAGGGCTAAGAAAACGCCAAGTTACAGCACATTATAAAACATCCATGTTTCTCTTTTTTGCTTAATGTATCTTTGAGAGAATAAAGTGGACAAGCTAGAAGGGGACTTAAGCTTATTGAAGATAGAGATGGATGAGATCTGGGTTTGGTAATGAGTAACAACTGCAGCAGGAGCGTTAGCTTCATAACCGGGTGACTGAAGTCCCACGTAGAAAATGAGGGAAGGGTGTCAGGTCACTCCGCAGTCCTCTGGTGATATGATTTAATTAAATAAGAATTAATTCCCCAGCCATTGGGCCTATTCATGGTCTAAGAAATGTTAAAACTAAAACAACTCTGCTTAGTTTTAACTAAGGAGAGGGAGGTAAAAGGAGGGTGCTCACAGAGTTGCCAAACTAAATCCACCAGGTTCCAAAGGATGCCTCTCTCCTGCTAGGGCGTGTAGGAGGTGGCCTATTGTTGCACTCTCACATTGATGTTTCTCTCTCTCTCCCCTTTCCTCTCTCTCTAAAAATCAATTAACTATTCTTAAAAAAATAAAAAATAAAATCACCACGGAAGTGAGGCCCTGTTATCATTGGGAATATAGTATGTCTTGCCCATCAAATGTATAGGGGCAGAAGGAAGCACCCGCTATCCTGGCAATCAACCAGCAGAGACAGACAGGGTGCTGCCACTGCCTCCTGTAAAAAACTGAAAATAAAACCTACTCTAAGGGATCACTTTTGGAGGGTAACTGGACACTAGATTCCAGCTGTATTTTCTATGCAGCCTCCACCCTCAACCTACAACTACTGTGCTGAATACAGTGCAGAATCTTAGCCTATCAGCTGTTTGACAGAACACAGAAGACATGAATTGTATTATGCCCCTCAGCTAGGCACAAGTAAAAAGTAAAGGAAACAAACATGGATTGTGCCTCAATTGTGTGCTAGGTTTTGGACCAGGTGCTTTGTTTGTTTTTGCATTTAATCTTTATTACAACCCATAAGGCATGTAATCCCTTGACTGGTTTAGGGATGAAAAAGTGGTGGTTCAGGAAGAGGAAAAACTACAATCTCCGATTGTAGGGAGCTGCTGCTGTACGAATCATGCAGGAAGAAAAGACACTGACTAGAACCATAATAAATTATAGCATGTAAGTGATATGGTTTTAAAATGTTACCTGAAAGGACTGGGAATTTCCAGATACAGCTGAGGAGTGGGAATCAAGAGATGAAACTTGCATTAAGGCAGCAGAGGGTGCTTGGAATCCAGAAACAGACAGCTGAGGTGCTACGATAAAGCAAGAAGTTTTCACCATTACCTAGAGTATCACCTTACATACTGTCAGGCTTTAGACTTGACCACTTTTCCCACCTAATCTCCTAAAACCAATTCTACTGCAGTCTCAGCAATAGGCTAGTGGAACAAAAGTGGGCATTCTCAGGTGCATTTGACTCACACAGACAATCCTATCAGCTGACAGGAAGTACAGAATTGCACAGAGGGAGGTATCTCATTAGCTGAGTGCAGATTTCCAAAACTGACAATGTGAAACAGCAAGCAGACCAAATACATCACCAGGTCGGAAGATGCCCTGCCTAGGGATGAAGTGACAAGTTTCACACTCTAGTCTAAAATGATGCAGCCTAACAATTTAAGGAATAGTGATGATAGCTTTGGTGCTGACCCGATTCAAGGCCACAGAGCTGCAGAGCTTCCTTACCATGTGCGGTCACCAGTGGTGGCACTGGCTGGGCTGGCTGAGGAGAGGGCTGGATGGGTGGAGTCGGCACAGGTTGCCCAGCTCCTCGCAAAGCATTCACTTCCTGAAACAGGCACCAGCATTTTGGTTATTATGATGAGTCCTTAACTGAAGACTAAGGCTGGCTGTCCACCCTAAACCTACTTACAACAGGGTTTAGGCAAAGAGGAGGAAGGAAGAGCATGAAGGCAAGGGTTCAGGGTGTGGGTTGTGGGGAGAAAGTTTTCTATTATGTAATAGAATAAGATCCCTTCTCCCTGTAAATCATATCAAATAATTAAATATAACTTCCTTGAACATTCTAAGTTGTTAAGTTTTATTATGTGAAGCAGCTAAAGTGACTGCTCTCCAGAGTGTATCATTTACCAAAACAGCAGTGACCTTAAGGTTGACCTAGTCTGTTCCCACAGAAGAGGGGTCTCTTGCAAGGAAACCCAGGGAATAATTCAGTCCCTTGTTTTCTGCCAAATAATCTCCACAGACCTCAAAGTACTCAAGGAGAACAGCTCATACAGAAGGATTCACTGTACCTCGTTACCATAATGTTTTGGGGATAATAGAGTTTTAGAGCGTTTCCTCCATTCTTTCTTTTCATAAAAATCAAAGCAATGTTGTTCCCTGCTATAGCTCTAAACAAAGTCATCTTACAAACATCTTCCTTATTTATAGAGGAAAGACCTGAGGCAAACATACAGAGACTACAACCTGCTATGCCACAGTTCAAGGGCTGAAATCTCTGACATTCTTTTACTTTGACACTTTCTCTCATTCCTGACACTCTCAGAAATGTATTATGCATTTCTGGAAAAGCATCTCACTTTTACATCACTACGACTCTAAATTAACCTAATGTCTAACAACGGAGTGAACGGAATGATAAATCAATATAATAGAGCACTGGGTTGCCATTAAAGATAATAATGCTTTATTTACTTACTTTATTTATATTACTGAGATTAACATAAATGTTCATAATGTAACATTAAATTAAAAAGTCAGGTTACACAGCACCCTGACTGGTACACTCAGTGGTCAGAGTGTCAGTCCATGCAATGAAGGGTCGCGGGTTCGATTCCTGGTCCCGCTTGGGGTACGTGCAAGAGGCAACCAATGGATGTGTGTCTCTTGCATCACTGTCTCTCTCCCCCTCTCCTTCCCCTCCACTCTCTCTAAAACTCAATGGAAAAAATACCCTTGGGTGAGGATGAGCAAAACAAAACAAAACAAAATCAGGTTGCATAGCAATATATATTAAAAAAAACGCCCTTTTAATTAAATGTTTCTTCTTTCTTTGTAAGTTAAATTATTCTACAAAGAATAAATAGCACTGAAAATTTCAATAAGAATATGACCTCATCCCAACTCCACTTCCAGAGACCAGGTAAAGGTCAGTCTCGTCACCACGGCCACGGAAACCTCCTCCTCCTGTAAATGCTAAATCTACTTAAGAGCTTTTCTGCCCAGCCGGGCGTGGCTCAGCAGTTGAGCATCAACCTAGGATCCAGGCGATAGGGGTTCGATTCCCGGTCAGGGCACATGCCTGGGTTGCAGGCTTGATCCCCAGTTCAGGGCATACAGGAGGGAGCCGATCAATGACTCTTTCATCATTGATGTTTCTATCTCTCTCTCTCCCTCTCCCTCTCCTTTCCTCTCTCTGAAATCAATAAAGATATATATATACATATATATNAGGCGGCCAATCAATGACTCTCTCATCATTGATGTTTCTATCTCTCTCTCTCTCCTTTCCTCTCTCTGAAATCAATAAAGATATATATATACATATATATATATACACATATATATATATGTATATATATATATATATATATATTTTTTTTTTAAAAGAGCTTTTCCAAAAAGGACAAAACAAAATTGTGAAAAGCAATTTGGAAAAATTTTGTTAGGAGTATGACCTTTGCTATGATTTACATCAAAATGAAAGAATAAGAAAAATTGATCTCTATTAAGCATTTCAATTGAAAAAAGGCGGTTTCATTCAACAAGGAACTAACCAACCAGGAAAGAATTAAGTTATTTTATATCACACAGCAATTTTCAGATGGATTAAAACTTTAGATCTAAATATAAAATAATAAATATTTCTTAAAAATACATGTGATGTTTATGCCTAAAAGTGGGAAAGTTTTCTAAGCATAAAGGAAAAAACTGATCTGGGTGCAATAAAATTCTTGACCTTCAAAAAAATTGCACCACATGCAATGCCAAAAGACACAAGTGTGATCTTTAGTTATAGGTAACATCAGTGGGGAGACCACCATTTCCTGAGAGGACCTAAATATTCCATCAGCAAATGTAAGCTGAGCATTCTTTACGAGCTGGACATCACACTGCCTGAAGGGTGATTTTTATTGGCATAGAATCTCTAGTGGAAGGCTAAATTACCAACTTAAAACGGCCCCGTGCTTATGACAGGTGTATGAAAGTGCTTCTGCTTTTTCTTTCTTTCTTTTTTAATTGATTTGAGAAACACTGATGTGAGAGAAAAACATCAATCGGTTGCCTCTTGCATGTGCCCCGAGTGGGGAACAAACCTGCAACCTGGGTATGTGCCCTCACCAGAAATCAAACCCACAATCTTTTGGGGTACAGGATGACACCCCAACCCACTAAGCCACTTGGCCAGGGCAAAACTGCTTCCATTTCTTAGAGGAAGTGCTAATCACAGTATAAACACATGCTACCAATACCAACCTGTATCATTTTGAATATAAACTCTCTAAATAATGATTCTGGGTTAGAGGCAGAAAAAGCAATAATTTCAACCAAAGGAAGAGAAGATAGCAACTTCTGCACTAGTCATGCTACTACAGCCAGGGGAACATACTTCAATTTCTGAATCATTGGAATCCAGCTGTGGTGGAAGGATGGGTAGCATGGGCTGGCCCATTTTAGCCATCCGAGAGATCAACTTGGCCTTGACTGTATCAGGATTCTAAAAAGACAGGAAAGCCATAAAAATCACTGTAATCAAGATTCATTACCTTCAGTCAACTCTACATCTTTGGCTCTTATATCATATCCAACAAGTCCCCCTGCCATAGAAATTTGAAACCATTTCTTCCAGAAAATGATAACATTTTCTGACCTAGAAATATACATGGGTCATACATAATAACAACAGTAAAAATAATTCCCTACATGTTTGGATTGGACAAAGTGGTTTCATATGTATTACTTCATTTCAATCAAGTCTCCCCACCATACATAATTATTCTCATTTTACAGATGAAAAACTAAAGTACAGATTTAAGGAGGGAGGCATTTAGATGATAGTACCCTCTCAAAAGCCTGGGAGAAATTCAGTAAATAGATATTCAGAAGAGATTTGGGGAGGGAAGGAAACAGGAGCTCTTCGTTCTAAATCCAGGTTCATTTAATTCTGACTTGGCACTGACCATACATTACACACTAGTGCAGTCACACTGACTACACACCAGCCCCTGTGCTGGAAGCATCTATATCCATTGACCAGTTCAAAGTGCAGCCTTCAGTGGAGAGTACCTATGTCTGAGGGTGCACAAGATGATCTATTGAGCACAGAAAGAAATTATCATAATCTCTATTTTTAAATTATTTTAAAGCTACAGTGACAAGACAATAAACCTGTTTACAGGGATTGACAGTACTTTATTATATTATTTGTAAATAGACCTAGACTGGGAGCATGTGCTCATTTTTTCTTAACTGATGGCGATGCATAACCAAAGAAAGTTGGATCCATCATGGGAGGGCTCCACAAGATAGAACACTATGATATAGAGGCAAAATAAGAATGAGGAAACTTTGTATACACTGATATGGAAAGATATTGTTAAATATATTGCAATATTCAAAAGCAAGGTAGGTAATATATGTAGTACGCTATTTTTTGTGAAAGAAGGGGAGAGAAATAAAATATACATTTCTATTTGCTTGCATCTGCATAAAGAAACACTGAGAGAATATATAAGAAACCAATAAAAGCAATCTAAGGGGGGGTTAGATGGAATAAGGAAGATGGGAGCGGGGGTGGGAGTGAGTCTTCTCAATGTATATCTTGTTATATTGTTTATCTAACTATACCATATGAATGTCATTGCCTATTCAAAACAAAAAATAAAAACTTAAATGTAAAAAAAGAGAGAGATGTTTAATTTTATGTTACGTGAATTTTGCCTCAATTTAATGAAAAACTAAAAAAGAAAAGAAAAAGGCTAGAGAGCACTAGTGTACCAGAAGTTACTAAAATTTAGAAATAGGTGACAAAAGTAGCTGTGCCTAGACAGTACAATAGAACCAATACTGGACAATTTTTTGTGGCTGTTCAAAAATTTGAAATTATAACTTGTTTTTCAATTTTCTTCTGATTCTTTCTCTTAACCTCCTGGGTTTAGGAGATTAATTTTGACACATATCACATCAATTATTTACTTAAAATTATTGCTTTGGTCTGAATATAACCAGGGTTGGAGAGAAATTACTTATCAATTTCACTCCACACAATTATCCTGTTTCCCAAAGTGGTAGGTGAAGGCCACAGGGCTTTAGGACTTGAAGTACTTTAGTTATCATCTCATCTACATGTAGCAAACTCAGATGCCACCATGAACCAGGCAGGGTAGCAGCAAACTACAGTGTACACTCTCCCAAAGACATTCAAATCCAAATTTCAGGACAACAGTGTGCTGATACTATCTTACATTTGGGGTGACACAGAGGCCCAGTGCCCTGTTCAAAGCCAACTAGCTGGTGAATTAGTGCAGAATTCCTTGGAGAGAATGAAAGTATGAAGATATGTAGTGTAATTATGGTAATATGTAGTAATTACAATAAGTTAATGTTATGAGCTTTTACAATATGCCAGACATAATACTAAAAACTCCATAGGCATTATTTCATGTAAACCTCATAAAAATCTCTTGAGAGATTACTGAAGACACACTATAAATAGGCTCTGAGCTTAGTGTTTTACATACATATCTCCAATCCTTACAAGAACCCTATAAGGGGGCTGTGAGAATGATTTCCATTTTAATAATAAAGCTGAGGGTCAGAGAAGTTAGATGGCTTTCTCAAGGACACATGATTATAAGAATAAAGATTTGAACCTAGGTCTGTCTATGCAGATGTAAGGGGAAATGAATAAAGTAGTCACTGATTCCTAGCTACATCTACGGTTCTCAACTTTTTTAAAATCTCTACCCTACATATGAAAACTTTTCCGCAAATTGGGAGTAAGGGAGACAGATGCATATACTCACTGTATTTACTGTAAGCTGTTCACTGAGGGAGTTAGATTTGGTACGAAGAGCCGGCTCCCTGAAAACAAGTAGAACATATCCTGAGGTGAAAACAAAATCCATAATCACGATTCCAAATTATACTGATAAACAAATTATTTTTGAAAATGTTTGCCAATTTAATAGCTCTAAAACAGAATTTTAACTCTTTTGTTTGCTTAATCTCTGGAAGCTAGTGATGATGAATAATTTTTCATCCAAATGCTTATTATTTACATTCCTTCCCTTGAGTATATATTTTATAATGATACCTTTTGCCCAATTTTACTCCAGGGTTTGGCAGGTATTCTTAAATATCCGAGTTAGTGCTTTTACAGACTATGAATATTAACCTTTCGCCAGGAAAATCTGATGCAAGTGTTTTTCCCACTTTCCCCATCCCATTTTTAACAGTTACTTAAAAACTCTTAGTTTTCAACTATATCCCTATTTATAAACCCCTCTAACAAATCCAGCATCTGACCCTGACTTGGGTGGTGACACAACAGGATCAGCTGGTAGACTGTCAGCACCAGGTATGGGAGAAGGAGCCGCAGAGTCCCGGGAGCTAACGCTGTGCCCGTCAGAGCCGGAGTCTCTGGCAAACTTCACCTAGGGAAAGAACCCACAGGTGAAACAGGTCACCAAAAAGGCACCCCCCATCCTCCTGGCATTTCACTGATTCCTCACTACATAAGTCATTCGTTATCTGTTCACTGCAGGCAATCGAGAAAATGCAGATAAGGAACAGAAGGGGGGAGGGCAGAATCACTGTAATCTAACCACTAAGCAATAACATTGTTAGAAATTTAGATGTAGTAGTTCACATTTATTTTATCTGTGTATGTGCATGTATGTGTGTTTTTACAAAAATGAGACCATACTGTTTTGCAATCTGCTTTGCTCACTCACTGATATATTAGCGTATTTCCATGTTACTAAATTACTGATCTACAACATCACTCTCAACTACTGAAGAGAATGCCTAACTTAAATACTATTATCTATAAACAAAACAAAAAAAACCTCCAAAGAATTCTGGGACGTCATAAATATTTATGCTATAACAAAATATATTTCACCAATTCCTAGATATTGGACATTCAAGTTATTTCTAATTCTATCACAAACAATACTTTTGTGAATAGCTTTATATCTACATATTTGCATATAATCTTACATATTTCCAAAGCATAAATTCCCGGAAGTTAAACTGTTGGATAAAAGGTATGCTCATTTTTAAGACTTCTGATAGATACTATTAAATTTCACACCAGCAAGGGTGAAGTACTTTACACTCTACATGCAGTGTATAAATCATCCTCAACACTCTTGTCACACTGGGCATAATCATTCCGTATCAGCCTTGTCAATTTAATAAGTATGTCAATTTATAATTACTTGATTACTGGTAAAGAACTAATTGTTTTCTTATGTTTACAAAATCCCAGTGTTGATGGATACAAATTGGTTTACCTATTACCAGCCATGATTTCCTCTAACTCAAAGGAAAATTGAGAGACTAGAACAGCTGTGGAAAAGGCAGCAAGAAGCACGTAGGTGAAAGAGGGCTGAAAGAACCCAGCAGAGACAGCACTGTCCAGTTAGGAAGGAGTCCTTCAAAAGAAAAGCATATCCTTTCTCGGCTGTAGCAGAACAATGGGCCCAACAAAGATGATCATAACACTTATGGTCATAAACATGACCAAATTTGGACCTAACAATCACAGTGTAAAGCAAAAAAGGATCTTTTTTCCCCATGGTGGGAGGAGAGTAGTTTTAATTTAATTAAACACAATTTGTTACAAACTCCATTATAAAAATTAAACATATTCATGACAAAATTTTAAATGGTACAAAAGGTAAAACGTAAAAAAGTAAAACTTTCTGAACTCCATTCTTGAGAAAATCATGCTGAATCATTCTTTTTTTCCCCTTTCTATCATTTTACTATTTATTAGTAGTTCTAGAAAACTGTTTTCCAGAGAGAAAAATAATTAAAAGTTAAGTTGTTAACAAAGTAGGTGGACAAGTCTTCAAAATTATTACGAAATCGGTTTTCAAAGTTAAAAATCTAGTAGTTTCAATTTTGCCATAAGTCTCTATATCAAAAAATACCTGCTGTGGAAAGAACTTATTCTGAGGTTAAGATCTTTCTTGGAGTCTCAATATTTTCCCTTCATATCATAATATCTATACAGTAACCTGAAAGTAACCTCGCAGTGAAGGAACCCACCTTTATATTGTGGAAAACTTAACAAAACACCTTTACCATAAATGTTAAACGTACTCCTTGCAATAGTCAGATATAAATAGAAGAAAACAAAACCCTACTCTTAGAAATCAGTCACCAAGTGAAAAGGACACTTTGGTGAGCAAAACAATTTATAAAATGAAACTCTGAAGCAACCAGGCTGTTATACAAGAAATTCCCCATAACCTGGAGGCTACACTCCACCATAAAGATACTAAGTGGGGGTGGTGAGAAATGAACTAAAGGATAGAAAATGTCAACCAAGAAATCGTGTATTTTATTTGGGTGAGAACCTGTGAAAGAAGTTTTAATCTTGATTAGCCGAGAGTGCATGAACTAACAAAACGGATACATAAAAAGAATAATTTCTTTTAATGCTTTCAGAAATTTTCTATGAATATATGGGCACATATGTGTCCATATATATACCTATATATGTAAACACAGATATATAGATATATATATAATATACAAAGTGGGCAAAAGTAGGCTTATAGTTGTTTGTATGGAAAAAGACATGCAGGTTACAGTGATTACAATAGCTTTATTAACTCTATCTTGCATACTCACAACTGTAAACCTATTTTTGCCTTCCCCTGTATACAGACACAAACAGACATATGTATGACTGTGTAAATATATGTATGTACATATTTATGTGCAGGCACAGGCGAACACACACACACACACAACCATACTATCCACACTGTTTTGCAACTCCCTCCTTTGGCTTAACAATAGATTGTGGATATTCTTTAAGAGCTCCAAAAAGTCCACTCTATAAAAAAACCCCTACCTTAACCAGTCTCTTAATAATGGACACTTTGTTGTTTCCAGTTTTTTACTATTACAAATAATGTGGCAGAGGGAGGAAACTATATATCTATTTTTATATATCTATCAATATATAGATATCTTTACATACTTATGAGAATAAATTGATAGGATAAATTTGTAGGCATGGAATTACTAAGTGAAAATGTACGCACACTGGGTAGAAATCACCATTTAAGGACAAAATAAAAAAGTTAGTGTAGAAGAGAAGTAATATGCTCAGTCATATTACCTCTCCTAGCCTCTGAATAGACAGCCTGGAAGGATGTAAACCTTGGTCTTAAAAAAAAGTCTTCAGAACCTGGTTTTCAAATAGATTTACTTACTTTATTTAACTAGCAAAGAGGACATCAAGGCAGCACAGCAGTTTCACTTACCCGCCTGATCTCCACCTCGAACACCAGGACCGAGTCCGCCGACTGAGCCCAGCCTATTGCCCCTTCAGAGCCAAGCGCACAGGCTGGAGGGACGACGAGCAGCCTTTTCCCTCCTTTCCTCATGCCCAGCATCCCATCTTCCCAGCCCTTCAGGGGTCAGAGATGGAGGGAAGCTCATCAGACACAACCCCCGGAAGAAAAGTGAAGCACAGGTCATCAGCTTTCCCTCATGCACACTTTCAGGTTTGCACTTCCAGAAAGAGTTCAACTAACCCCCCACCTCCCCGCTGGTTTTAAGAATATCTAGAACACTGCTTTTAAATTTACTCATAAAAGCCAGCATATCCAGAGATGAATGAAATATACTTATCTCAGGTGATGAGAGAAATTGGGAGGAACAGAAGAATGGCATTAAAAGAGAAATAAAAGCTATCACTTATTAAACACATTTTTCCAAGTACTTTGGCAAGTGCCTTACTTGCATTATGTTGTTTAATTCCCAAAATAACCTCATATGGTTGGCAGCATTATCCCCATTTTATAGATGAGAAAACCGAGGCTTTAGCGAAGTTAAATAGCCCAAGATCAGAGTTAGTAATCTGTTAAGCCACAATTCAATACCAGATCTGTCTAGTTTCAAGGGCCATGCCTAAACTGCTATGATCTGCATGAAAAAGTCTCCAAAAGATTCTGAGAAAAGGAATCATAATGCTATGGAGAAAACCTTTTTGCCCCACAGAAGAATGAGAGCTTTCCAATGCATTAATATGTCCTGACACAGCAATACCCCAATGTGTAAAATACTCTTTATGTTATAATACACTTATACACAGCTGGCAAAGGAAAATTCACAATGTGAATCCAGGTCCTCAGACTCTAATCCCAGTGCTCCTCCTGCTATGTCACAGTTGCCTCCCATAACAATTATGAAGTGCTGATTCAATGCATCCCACACAGTTAAGAATCAACCCATATAATATACTTCTATAAGAAACAGTTTCACTTCATTCCCCATTAAGCTGTAGGAAGGATTTAATAATTTCCTGAGTGACAAGATGAAAAAGGGTAGGAATTAGAGAAAAGAAATGTACCCATCTTCAATACAGTAGTCCCCTCCCTTATCTGTGGGGGATATGATCTAAGATCCCCAGCAGATGCCTGAAACCTCAGATAGTACCAAACCCTATATATACTACGTTGTTTCCTATACATGTATACCTATGATAAAGTTTAATTTATGTATCACGCACAGTAAGAGATTAACAACAATAAATAATAAAATAGAATGCTTATAGCAATGTAATAGTTATGTGAATAGCTTTGGGGCCATTATTAAGTAAAATAAAGGTTACTTGAAAACAAGCAATACTATGACAGATGAACCAAGATGGCTACTTAGTGACTACTGGGAAAGTAGTGTTTACCGTGTGGATATGCTGGGGCAGGGATGATTCGCATCCAGGGCAGGACAGAGTGAGTTTTCATCACACTTCTCAGAACGGCAAGCAACTTAAAATTTATGAATTGTTTATTTCTGGAATTTTCCATTTAATAATTTCAGACTGTGGTTAACCATGGGAAACTGAAACCATGGAAAGCAAAACCGAGGATAAGGGGGGACTACTGTATATTGTCTCATAGGTAAAAATCTCTCAAATGCAGATAACATAATACATTTTCCCCCTCTTACTTTTAAACCAAGCTTTTCCAGACTCTCAGAAGATACCCAGGTTAGAAATGTCACAAATTTTAACCTAAATTAAGCCTACTGCAAGTGATACAACCACGTAAGAACACAGTTGAGCCTTTACCTTGATGACTTTTCCTGATCCTAATTTCATGCGAAGCAGCTTATCTTTGTTAGCAGTGGAGTCAAAAACCTGCAATTTGATCAAGTAAATGATAAATGAGGTCAGCCAATTTAAAAAATAATAATAATTACAATATGCAACTTACTAAACATACCAGCACAGTATTTCTGGAATAAAGAATGTCAAATATACTGGGAAAATAGTTCTTAAGAGAGCTAAAAAGACGGGGCCACATCATGGCTAAAAGTTATCACACAGACTATCTCTGAGGCATTGATTTTCCAGGCTTAAAAATAAAGTAACTTCATCTATTAAAAAGCATTTTTCATTTATAAAGAACTTTAAAATAAATTCTCTTTGATGCTGACACCACTCCTGTCACTAACCACTAACGTCCATCCACCAATGGGGGGAAAAATTTAAGAGCTTAAATGACTTGACAAGGTTAAGTTAGGATAAAATAGGAACTTGAATCCACTTTTTTTGACTCATAGTCTAAAATTCTTTCTATCATACCATACTGCTTTTGACAGCTTAATAATATTAAAAGACAACAAGTCCAAACTATTTATAGAATCTACTATTTAAAAAAACCAGAAACAACTGGCAGGTCTAAAAGGAAGTTTTAAGTACTAATCCCCTAAGAATACATTTGAGTTTAAAACTGGTACCAGAGAATGAGACACGCACGTGAACAATTACCAAATGTAATACTTGGGAAACTGGCTTCCATTTTCTCTAAGTAGAAGCGTTACAGTGAGTGGCACTGAGTAGATTTTATACATTAGCATTTCATGACTATGCCCCAAAAGCAATAGTAGGAATTAAAGCAAGGCTCCTAAAAGATTTCTATTTGCCAACAGCAGCAATTCACTGTAATACTACCTAACGTATGAATAGCCCTCATGCTGTTTAAATTACAAAAGAACTTGCAGGGGACATTTTCTCACCTGGCCCAGAGCATGATTCTGAAAGAGCCAGCTGGTATAGGCCACTTCCAAAGAATCTCCAACTTCCACAGCAGTGCCCTCTGTTACAACGAGGTCCTGGGAAAGCACTGCATCCAGGGAAGGGGTGCTGTTGCACTTGGCAATGCACACCTGTGAGGCAAAATCAAAGCAGCATGAACTTAGTTTAAGCTCAGTAAGTACTCACTCTAGTTTTGCTAATGATCCCTTTTCCAAACAGTTGGTGTCCACTAACAAAACAAATGACATGTTTAGAAGTAAACCATTCCAAAGTTAGTAATATTGCCAGGAATTAAAGTGTCTAAGAGTATGGCTTTGGAGTCAGACTGAGTACAGATCTAGGTTTATTAACTGACACTTATTAACTTGTGATCTTGGTCAAATAACCTCTGTGAACCTTATTTCATAGTTTTTTTGTAAAATGAAGATTAAAAAAAAACAAATGTGCATATCTCCTAGGGTAGTACAAGCAGAGTACTAGACACAGTGCTTGGGAAATAAAAGTAAGTGCACATACATGTTGGCTATTATTACCATACTGAGTTACTGCTTCAGTGTTTGGGAATGAAGGCAAGAAAGGGAGCATCAAAAAAAATTAAAATAAAGAAAGCGCTTTTAAAGACAATGTAACCACACAGACACTTCATTTCTTTAATATGAACTTCCTCCTTTCTTTCTTTCCCTTTGATTGACATTGGCCTCATCCAGCACCCTCACACACCTACCTGCCTCCTCCGCCCTCGCTTGTGACAATGAGGTTCTGGTCAGCATTAAACAATCTTAGGAACAAAGCCTTGGATCTATTGACTACAAAGAGTTTCAATCAAACTAAAGATAACATCTAGGCCTCAGTTGTTTCAGTTCCAGACCCAGAAAAGCAGCGACATCACGGTTAGATGCAATGATTAATTACCTCCTACCCAATCAGCAGTGACCACAACCCTGACCGTGACTCTAACTCCCTTAGTCCCCTATACAACTCACCTCCTAGTAGCCATCCGAAAGCCAGTCTTTGAGCACTAGCTAACCTGTGACTCTGGACATGGTACCACTTCCTCAACTAATAAACCCTTACTTTCTTTGCTGCTATCTGTGCTATTGGGCTTTGATGCACGCAGGTGAACAGACCCCTTCAGTCTGGTAACAACAATAAGCTACAAAAAAACACATGCCCTTTACAAAACTGTGTTGCATTCCCATAGTTTATATCTGCACTACGTACAGTTTTAGCCATATTATTTTAGTACATCTTAGACAAAGAAGTCAGAAACAGCTTTATGAATAAGTATTCTATAGTCAATGTGGTGGGTTTTTTTGTGGCATAGCATTTTAGTCAATGTTTTAACATAGTATACATTAGAAATCTGCTACCCATTTTCTTTAAAAAAGTTTCATTATTGTACTCAAATAAATGCCAAGAAAAACAATGAGATGTCATTTTTTTACAAAACAAATAAAACTAAAAGTATATAATATATAATTTCAAATGTTGGCACAGGTATAGTGAGAGAACTAACAGCAATGAAAAGCAGTGTATACAGAACCTAAAAATATTTGAACCCTTTGACACAATCCTTTACTTCCAAAAATCCAGCTTAAGGAAATAATCAGGGGGGAAAAAAGAACAGACTTATATACAAAAATGCTCACTATAGTATCATATATTTTGAAGACTAAAAACAATCAAAATGCTTAAAAGCAAGGGAATGACTAAATAAATTAAGGAACATTTATATTATTCAGCTTTCAAAATGTTTCCAAATAATTTTTCATGAGGTGGAGAAAGATACATTATACACTGTCAAATAAAATAAGCAATATATAAAACTCTTAAAGAAATATATCTACATATATATTATGTATAGAAAAAAATAACATGTTAATAGTGGTTATTTTGGGTAGTAGGATTATGAGTGATTCTTTGAAAATGCTTTTCTAAATTTTCTACAATGATCATGTAATAACCTTTAAAAATTCCTTGATAACACTATTTAAGAGATAGTTTTCATTCCTTAAGATAATTTATGAAGTGGAAATGTTTTAAAGAAGTAAGTTTACATTTAACCCTTTTTCTCTTAAAGTCTCATTTTCAAGCAATTTTAATTAAGTATTCCTATTATTTCCCTGAAATACAATAAACTCAAGTGATAAATTTAGTGGGTTTTTAATGCTTGCCCACTAACAAAATAAAGCAGATTATGGGTTTTCCATCTACTTTCCCCAAGTCAAAGGAAATCCAGACTAGTGTTCGGCTTTTCACAAAAAGGTGGTATTATTACCTGTTTATTGAACTCCACAGCAGCTTTTTCTGACTCAAACATGATGGACCAGTTTTGTCTCTGGTCATCATAAAAGGTGCTATAGTTATTGGGCCGAACCTGCGGAAAGGAAAAATGTTGGCACAAGTCAACTACATAAAGCACAGCAGATGAATCTGACTGCCTAAACTCAAGACTGAAGGGACATGGACCCAAAGAGAGATATTAGGGAACTCTCTTCTTCCCTCCCACCTCCATATATCATCCCTCAGTCCGCATTCTCAGAAGGCAGCCAAGAGACCTTTCCAAAATATCCAGTCTGACATCCAGGGCTGAAGTAGTAGATCTGATTCCCACCAGGTATGCACAGACCAGTTTCTTCTATAAACCTATCCCAAGGGAGTTAATGATTCTAATATGGGAAGTCTTACCATTAGCTCAAAGTTCAGATGAATCCTGGCAACAGTAACTGGCTGTTGTTGACTGATATAAAGAAGAATTCTATACTGTACTCAAGCAAAGATGAGTAGAAAGAGGAAGAGAGAACAGAAGTTAAAAGATAATACAAAAATCAGCAGTAAGATGTCAGGGGTTGTGTTTCATACAGGCATAAAACTCAAAGCTCAGCTAATCCTTTAAAGCTTGGATTTTAAATTATATCTTCTCACTACCCATTTTAATCTTTTCATTTTGGGCTTACTCTTTAACTATAATTAGCAATGTCTTTATTTTGTTGGTGTTTTCATTTGTAGGAGGGATGACTAAGAGATAAACAAATGGCCAACAGGTACATGAAAAGAGGCTTAATGTCATCAGTCATTAGGGAAATGCAAATTAAACCACAATAACATACCACTTCACACCTATTAAGTAGCTATAAAAAAAACAAAAAAATAATGAAGTGTTGGTAAGGTAGTGAAGAAATTGGAACCTATATACTGCTTATAGGAATGTAAAAAGGTACAGCTACTGTGGAAACAGTCTGGCAGTTCCTCAAAAAGCTAAATATAGAATTAGCTTAAGACACAGCAATTTCACTCCTAGTATATACCAAAAAAACTGAAAACAGGCAATCAAACATATACTTGTATATCAATGTTCACTACACCATTATTTATAATAGCCAAGAGGTGGAAACAACCAAGTGTCCATCAACTGATGAATGGATAAACAAAAGATGTTATATACATGCAATGAAATATTATTCAGCCATAAAAAAGAATGAAGTTCTGATACATGCTACAACATGGATTAATCTTGAAAACATTATGCTAAGTGAAATAAGCCAGACACAAAAGAACAAATATTATATGATTCCACTTATGTGAAATATCTAGACTAGGCAAATTCATAGACACAGGAAGTAGATTAAGGTTACCAGGCGTAAGGGAAGGAGGAATGGGGAGTTACTGCTTCCTGATTATAGATTTTCTGTTTGCAGCTATGAAAAAGGATAGTGGTAATGGTTGCTCAACATTGTGAATGTAACTAATGTCACTAAATTATACACTTAAATGATTAAAATGGCAAATTTTATGTTTCATATATATTTACAATACACACACATACAAACACATACATAAAACCACAGTTAGACAAATGACTAAAATTCAGCTCCAGAAGGGAGGATGAGACAATGAGGGCTCACATACAATCTTGCACCAGAAAGGTCTTTCCTTACCCTATGCTAGGAGACAGTGAAGGCTCATCACCTCAATGCAAACCAGTTACAGACTGAGCTGGTCAGGGAAGGATCACAGATTTATTAAGAGTCACTCCACTTCTGGGCTGTCCCTGTTCTCAAGCATTGTCTTCCTAGGCTTTGACTGAAGGCCTGGAAGGTCTGACTTCTCAGTCCTGAGTGTTCTGCCTGTCAGCAGCTCTGGGTTCTTCAGCCTCCTCCCCATGCTTGTTACAGGTTCCAGTCTTATAACTGGACTTAATCTCCTATGCACCACAACATTGCAGAAGTTTCCCTTGGCCTTTCTGGCACGGCCCCTGGACTTCCTCACCATCCCAGAACTCAGCAGTGTCCTGGGGGGGAAAAACCAATCTTGCGTTTGGAGCTCCTCTAGTTTTTGCCCGTGTCTCTTGGCCCCAGCAGTCTCAGTGCTTGGGCCATACCTGATGTTTAGTCTACTCTTAAGCATCAGCCAAAGTCTCAAGGGAAGGAAACACCTCATTAGCTCTTCCCTCTCTGAAATTTTGTTTACCTAGTTCTCATCGTTTCCACAGCTCTCCAATGAATTTTAAAATGTAATTTTAGCAATTTATCTCCTTTTTTATCATTGTTACAGCAGAACTGTTATCTGCCAAAACCTCCTACATCCTATTTGGTAGTGAAGGGCGGTAAAGTACCAATACCAGATTTTTATGATCCAAATGGCAACCCCTAACAAATTAATAGATCTAAATTATAATCACTGATGTCTGCTAACATAACGAAATGAGGGACAGCCAGACTTTATTTACTTCCAGATGGGAAAATGAAACAGATTTAAGGGACACAGTAACCAACAGCAATATATGGACCTTATTAGATACTGATTAAAACAAACTGTAAAAAACAAAAAGAAAAGAAAATCAGGGAAATTTGAACATTAGCTGGTAGTAAATGACATCAAAGAATTATTGTGGGGTTTTTTTAGGTGTAATAATGGCATAACAGAAGACTGGCTAGGTTTAAGGTGAAACAAGATTAATGATGGTTAGGGCCTAGTAATGGGTATCTAGGGGTTCATTCGTCTCATCCCACTATTTTTATGTTTCCAAACTTCCATAATTAAGTTGTTTGTTTTAATACAAATGAGTGTTGTCTATTATATAAGTTACCCTAAAAAGGTCATTTTATTTCTGTGTCTCAGAGTCTCTGAGGAGTATGGAATCCATGCTCTCTGGATCTCTGAAATTCTTTAATTTCTTATGCTTATTTCAACAATGTTCAAAACCTTCTGGAGCAGAATTTGAAGCTAGATATAACGCACACAAGTCAGTCAGTCTTAGGGCTTCTAGCCCTATCTTTTTTCCAACCCAAGCCAGTATTTTACTGTGTGACCAGTTGTCCATCTCATCAAATTTTCAAAGGATAAACACTGGTCATTAATGCAGGTACAAAGACGTGTTGCTCTAAGTAGTACACCAAGTGTTGTTCAGCACCCAACAAAAGGATGTCGTTGGTAAAAGGTTTACTCTAAAACTCTAAATTCTTAATCCAGGTCCATATCACAAAGATTAAACTTAAAGATTTTGAGTGGCTGGATTTGTTTTAATGTTCAATGGTAAGCAAAATGCGACTATAAATGTTATTATATACGTAAAATTAAAAATTCACATTCAACAGTCATTCTAATTCTCTGATACATGAGACACTAGGCAAGCCCAGAGGGAACCCAGCTCATGAGTATGATTTGGGGCACTTGATTATACATGAGATGTGGGGGCAATCTCACCTCTCTGGCCGTATGATTTCCCAGGACTGCAGCACCAAATTTGCCCTGCTTTACATACTGACCATTTGAGCTACAGAAGCAAACACAACAACAACAACAGGTATTAATACTTCCTTAAACTAAGCAGAACCAGCTTTCTTTTCTGCCACATAAAGTGGGAAATCTAGTCATTCAGCCTCTAGAAAGGAATAAAGGTGAGCAGTTCATAAATTTAAAGCTCTTATGCAACTTCTTTACTCTTTAAATATCTACTATTTATATCTCAGTGGAGTATCTTCCTTTGAGCACTTGGAAAGGCAGTTGTTGAGCTACATGCACTTCAGAGAAAGAGAAGACAAGATAATGGCTCTTCGAAGTTTTACGAGAAATTGGAAAACTGAAAAGTTAAAAAGCATTATCGATACTTTTTCTATGGAAAGGCTGAGTGGCCATTTTGCAATGAACAGAGGCTTACTGAGAACAGACAGGAGTTTAATGCTGCCCCCCGCCCCCAACCTCAGAAAGCATTCCTTCTCAGCTACTTACTATCTATATGCATGGACTGCTGTTGCAACCAATACTGTAGAAGTCCCTGCTGAGGTGGGCGCTGTTTTTGGTGTGGCCTGATTTCCTGAAGATGAGGAAGAAAACGAAGTCGTCTGTTACTCATTTCTTGCATAAAACTGATTTTTTAACCATTAAAGTTTATTCAAATTCTCCTTTATGCCTTATAGTGTTAAAATGCTTATTTGACCAATATCCACATAAAGCAGACCTATGATTTCATCTGGGGATGAGGAAACTGAGGCTCTACGCACCCCAGGGTTTTACTCAATGATAGTAGCAAGTCTAGGACTAGAGCCTAGGACTCCGACTCCATCCAAACAAGTCTTTGGACTGGACAAGAAACATTACTTAGAAAACAAGGTCATAGTCATTTTACTTTCTTTTCCCCTTTCAATATTTGGACAGCTATAATAAATAAAAATAAAGTTATTTCCCCTTCTCTTACTTCTGGAGTAGAAATTTTATGATATTCAGGTCACAGCCGTTACTTACCTTTCACAGTGGTTACAGAATAACTCGAGTGTTTTAAAACAATATATTCAGCCTGGCTGGCATGGCTCAGCAGTTGACCATCAACCTATGATCCAGGAGATTGAGGTTTGATTCCTGGTCAGGGCACATGCCAGGGTAGCAGGCTCGATTCCCAGTATGGGGCGTGCAGGAGGCAGCCAATCAATGACTCTCATCATTGATGTTTCTCTCTCTCTCTCTCCCTTCCTCTCTCTGAAATCAATAAAAATATATTTTGAACACACACACACACACATACACCCAAAAAACCAGTATATTTAGAGTAAATTGCATATGTACACTTACCACATTCATGTGTAGATGGAACAGTAGTGAGAACATTAGAATGGACATAGCAACCAAAAACTTATTTTCAAAAGCATCCTTGTTTGATTTAGTTTTACTTTGTGTTGATAAAAATAAGACAACAGGCCCCAAATAAAGTCACTTATGCTAAGTTCCACATCACCACACTGAGACTTAATTATAATTAAAGTTTTGGCTCTCTCAGAAATGAAGTTTAAACCGGTCAATCAGGAACTGCCCGATCAGCACTAGTTAGGTAATCTGCCTAACAGACCTGGCCCTCATCCCCTAAAGGAAAGTTATCTTGCCATACCCAACCTGCTTTTTCACCCCATATAACTTCTTTGTTGCTGCTCCCTTCTGCTTATAAAAGTCTTTCATTTTGTACAGCTTCTTGGAGATCTTTTCAGTTCACTAGACTGGATGCTGCCAGGTCCAGGAACTGCTGAATAAAGCCAGTAAGATCTTTTAAAATTTACTCAATTAAATTGTTTTTAAATTTTGTATTGACGCTTTTTTTTTTCCTGATTGTAGAGTACATGTACATTGTAGAAAACTTAACAAATACAGAAACACACAAAGAAAATAAAAATGGCCTGTAATCTCACCACCCAAAAATAAATGCTAATAATTGGATGTATTTATTCCTAGTCCTTTGTCTATACACATAAACTCTGCAGCATTATCTTTTTTGAACAAAATTCATGATGTAATTTGACAACTTCCTTTTCTCAGTTAATATAGGTATTTCCTTTTATTCTTCAAAACAGTGTCAAAAACAGACAAAATAGTCCTAAAAATGTTTTTTAGTGGATATACTAAATACTATATTAAGACTCTACCAAAATGTATCCAATTTCCTATTGTTTGACATTTCTTTGAGCTGTTGCCAATTTTTCTCTATTATAATGTTATGGTAAACATCCTTAAAATATACATTTTTATGTGTACCTCTAATTACTTTCCTAAAAGAAATTTCTAAAAATGGAACTGTGAGGTGAAGGAGTGTAAAAAACTTTAAGATTTTGTTACATCCTGCCCAAAAGCCCTTGAGAAATGCCATACCAGTTTACACTCCCACCAGCAGTATGAGTCTGCCAGCTTTGCATCTCTGCTAATAAGAGGAAATTATCTTTTAAAATCATTACCAATGGGAAGGAGGCAGTAGGGAAAGGGAAACGCCATCTGTTGCTTTCATTTGCATTTATTGATTACAGGAAGCTGAAATTTAACATTTTCTATAGATTTATACTATTTGCTTTGTCTTGTTTTGATGAACTATTCATTCATGTTGTTTGCTTATTTTCCTAGTCCGGTGTTCATATTTTCCTTAGCATTTAGTAAAAACCTGTACCCAGTTTTTTAATCCAATCAGCACTTTCCAGCTATATGTAATACTATAATAAAACTTTTCTCCTGATAAGCAGTGTATGACAGGAAAAAAGTAACTAAGGCCAGCGTTAGGTAATTAGGACAAGTCTGAAACACTGCGAAAAACTGTCTCCCTGAGGTCGGCCCAGCATCCTCCTTCTGCAGGGTTTAACCTCTCCCAGTACACTCTTATCTCCCTATCTCATGTCCTGGAAATGAAAGGTTGCGGATTTGCTGGAGGGGTAAATGAGTCAGGTGCTCACAATCATATGATCTTCTCTTTGGCTTTGCATTTCTTCCTCTCCAAAATCAGCACTGCACAGATTCTTGAGTTCCCAACTCACAAAGATTTTTTTTAATAGTACATAGTTTCAAATCTTTTTTTTTTTGTTTTGAGCAAAGTTTTTTTGTTTTTAGTGTCTGTTCTTTTCTCCCCACTATTTGGGAATGAATATATATTTATTTTACACCATATGTTGAATCTTTGTTAGTGTCAATATTTGTCACTTTCTTTTGAAGCCTCCTAATTTTTTACTTTAAAAAGTCCCTCCTGTTAACCTTCTATTTCTCTTGAGGCATAATCTGTTAACTTGCATTTATGTTCTCATCTCATGTCTTATGTTATTTTCTTAACGCTAACTAAGTGGTTGTAGCTTTGATCTGCTCGGTAAGAAACATTCTCACAGAAGAGAGCTCTCACTGTCTGTAGAGATGTTATTCTGTTCTTTGCTCTCTTTGTTCTTATAATAATTTTGCATGGAGTTTGACTGACACTCTTCCATTGCTCATTTTTATGTGAAATTTGTTTTCTGAACTCTTAGGAGGTTCAGGGTGGCTTTCCTAACTTCATAGAGCTCCCACTTCTGTTCTTTTCGTATAAAGTTAAATTCAAAAATAGAGTAGCTTCCTCCCGAGACTTCCTGACTCTGTCTCTATCCTTACTCTTACCTGGATCTTCTCTCCTTCCCTTCTAATATTGCTATTCTCCCTAATTTTAATTCCATCCCCAGAAGATTCTTCTCAGTGTGGGGACCTGTCCTGGAAGGTCAGCATAGCGGGTGAGTTTCACAAGTTCACAGAAGCAAGAGTGCTCCAGTTCTTTTAGTCCCAATCATCAACCCCTGTACTTACCCACAAGTAGAGTGGGCAAAACACTCTCCAGTTTTAGCTTGGCCTACCCTATTTTCCATGGACATCTACCAGCTATTTTGGGGTTCTCCCATTCTCAGGCTCAGATATTCTCCCACTGCATCCCTGTTTGCTCCCATGCAAATGCTGATACCATGCAAGCCTTGTGGTTGTTAGTGGTCTGTTCATACCTGCTTACATGTGGGGGTTCACGAGGATATCTCTTCAATTGGTTTTGTTGTAAATGTTACCCATAGGTTTGTATTTTATATCTAGCTGCTCTGTCTTTATATTGAAATCTGAAGAGATTCAAGAACTATGCTATAGCCATCTTCCCCACAAAGACTTCTTATATAAATAGCCCTCAAACAGAAGGGTCTCCTATATTGCTACTTTGCTTTTTATTTGTAAATGCCTATATAAGATTGTATAGGTTATTTTTAAGTTCAAATGCCTCTATAATTATTCTCTGAAAATATAATTAACTCATAGTTGTTGTTTCCTGATTTTAAAAAAATCACGTTACTTCACTAGCTGGGGCCTCAGAAGCACACAGCTGATGAAGAGATGTGCCAGAGGAAAGGTAAAGGCACAGCCTACTAAGAATCTGCCAGGTTAGGGGTGGGAGAATAGGACCAACAATCCACAGCAAAGCTGCCAAAGTGACAGGTAAGATTTAGAGCAGAGGTCAGCAAGCATTTTCTGTAAAGGGCCAACAGTAAATATCTTACAATTTCATGGGCCATTTGGTAAACGCACATACTATTCAACTCTAAATAGCTTAATAACACCCCCAGTGTTGTGGCTAGCATGTAAAAGGCCGGCAATACTTTCATCTTTATTCAACAAACATTGAACTTCATGTCCCTCACCATCTGTTCAGAGCTGGTAGCTCAGGGCTGTTTCTATCAATCCCTTACTCCTCTTCAGGTTCTTACACAAGACAACGAGTGTAGGAGGCAAGAAAACCTTTGAAGTGAATCAGATCAGGGTTCAAACTTCAATTCTGTCACTTACTGCTGTATAACCTTGATCAAGTCCCTAAACCTCTCTGAGAGTCTAAAATGGTAGTAGTCTCACCTATTTCACAGAATTGTGAGAATTAAATAAGAAAATCTGAACTTGCTGGTGTGGCTCAATTTGTTGGAGCACCATCCCATACACCAAGAGGTATCGGGTTTGATTACCTGTCAGGGCACATATCCAGGTTGCAGGTTCAATCCCCAGTTGGGGTGCATACGGAAGGCAACCAGTCGATGTTCCTCTCTCCCTCTCTCTCTCCTCCCCCTTCCCTGGTCTCTGAAATCAATAGGTACGTATCCTCGAGTGAGGGTTAAAAAAAAAAAAATCTATGTAAAGCACCTGAGACCAGACACATAGCATGCATTTTAGAAATATTAGTCCCCTTCCCTTCTTTCATCAACAAATGTTCACTCGATTTTCTTTTGTGTCCATCATGATGAAAGGTACAGGATCCCCTGTACCTGCACTGAGTGGCACTGTCTAGCTGGGAAAAATTCAGTCACCATACATCTAACCCAGCAAGGTGAAAGAAGTGAAAAGCAGCTCTTCCTTCTCACCAAACACTGCACAATACCTACTTAGAAGGCCCTCAGCAGAGTTTTTGAAAGTGGTGTCCACATGGGGCAGAAAAGCTTACCTGCGACCTTCCTTCATCAGTTTCTAACAAAGGGCACATTATCAAGCCGCCAGAATTCATATCTCAGAGCTTAGAGAGGCAGGCAGACTGACCAAGGATGAATAACCTGGCATATCACTTTTGGAAGGCTGTTTATCCTTTCAACTAACTTGATAGGGGCCAATCCTAACCTCTTAACTTACCTGTTACTGTTGTTCCCTGGCTTTTCTTAGGCTGCTTTGGGGCTGTGTACTGGAAGAATTCATTTCCATGGTCAGCAGTTGTCTGATCTCGTCCAAAAAGAGAGGCCAATCTGGCACTGTCAGTAGAAAATGAAAATGACATTTCATTTGACATATCTCAAACCTAGCATCATTATAAATGCTGCTCACCTCCAACCTTGAATATATACCTCCTTGACTGTATATCCCACCATTCAATACTAGAAGTGAAAGCTAAGTGACTTTGAAATCAAGACTGTATTTCTGATTGGAACAGCATCGGATGACCTTATTCGTCCATTAAGACTTTAGTCAAGGCGTTTCTTCTTTCTGGACCTCAGTTCCACATCTATAAATTGAGGTGGTTGGTCCACATGCTCTCTATGGTCTCTTCAAACTGTAAATTCTTGCCTTTAGCAAGTCACAGTTTCCTACTTTTTACTAGTTTGGGAATAAAGTAAATTGAAATAAAACTGTCCTATGAAGTTACACTATCAAACATGGTCCCATCTACCATTTCGCCTAACAGGCAGAACCATTCCTTCATCATCGCTTGCAGTGACTCTTATGCCCCAAGCATTCCGCTGAAACTGCTCTTGCTAAAGGTCACCAACAACCTTAGTTACTAAACATAATTTACTAGTCTTTATCTAATTTGGCCTTCATGCTGACTTTTTACACTGTCAACTATTTTGTTCTTCAAACAAAATCTTCCCTTGACTTGTGTGGGGATACCTGTGGGTTGGGAAGAGGGACTAGCCCAAATAAGACCTCAATATGTGCTCAAGGGATCCCTTTCTTGTCTTCCCATCTCTCTGGGTATTCATTTAACTTCTTGGACTCTTCCTTCTCTGCTCAACCTTTAAATGTCCATGCCCCCAAGATTTTATACTCTCTTTGCCGTGGCAAGGTAATTTATTTACCTTGGTATCAAGTGCTATCCAAATGCTGATAATGCTCAAATCTGTATCCTCAGCCCAGAATTTGTTCCTGAGTGCTAGACAACACAGATATCCCACAGGCAACACAAGTGCAACATTACATGTCCAAACCAGAACTCACATCTTCCAATCCCAACTGCCCAGCAAAATCTGTGCTTCCTCTCTTGATGAGTGACATTTTGTGTCCGTGTCACCAAGACTGCCTCCAGGTTCAGTGATTTACTATAAGGACTCCTAGACTCAGCGTATAGTTGTACTCATGGCTAAGATCTATTACAGTAAAAGGATACACAGCAATATCAGCAAAAGGAAAAGGCTTACTGGGGCAAAGTCCAGAGGAAACTAGAAGCAAGCTTCCAAGAGTCCTCTCCCAGTGGAGTGACACAGGACATGTTTAAATCCCCCAGCAATGAGTTGTACCAACATGTGTGAAGTGTGGTCTACCAGGGAAGCTCATTAGAGACTTAATTCCCCAGGCTTTGAGTCTCTGGGGGCTGATAAACAGAAACCCTCTAGCATGTACCAAAATTCTAGAATCCTAGAAGGAAGCCAAGGTTCATGAATCATATTGTTTGTACAAACAGTTTAGACAAGTGAGCCACTCCTATCATTTATGAAAAGCCTTATATCAGGGTGAGGAACTGTTTACCAATAAAATTCCTAGATGTCAGCCACGTGCGAACCTTGTAAATAGGACTTTCTAAGGATAACAATTTCAGGTCTACTATTTTTGTCTAGCTGGGAAAAATTCACTGTCACCATATATCTAATCCAGCAAGGTGAAAGAAGTGAAAAGTAGCAATTCCTTCTCACCAAAACACTAGACAGTACCTTCGCAGAGGGCGCTGGGCAGTTTTTGAGAGTGGTGTTCACATGGGGCAGAAGAGCTTACCTTAGGCTTTCCTTCATCAGTTTCCAGCAAAGGGCACACTACTACTCATTTCTGCAAACACCCACAACCAAACTGAAATCTGGGGATCATCCTTGACTCTTTTACCCCTGGTGTTCATAACCAATTCCTGAGTCCACTTAATTTTACTTGCTAAACATTTCTTGAACCCATTCACTTCTCCCCATCCTCACTGCCACTTCAGGCCACCATCACACCTACCTAGCTAGAATTACTACAACCACCTCCTTACTCATCTCCCTGCCTTGGACTTGCCTGCTTCTTATACATTCTCTCCATTGCATCCACAGTAATCTTTTGAAAAAACAAATTTGACCAAGTCTCTTTCCTCCTTAAAACCCTCAAGGACAACTTAATATTACCAAAAACCCAAACTCCACAAGACAGCTTTACAAGGCCCTTCAAGACTTAACCTTTCCATTTCCCCCCAGCTTCCTATCTGGCCATTTCTCCAATCCAATTGTGTTCAACAGTCACACCAAGGAACTTTTAGTTCCTTAAATAAGGCAAGATCTTTCTGATCTCCCGCCTTTGAACATGCTGTTCCTTCTGCCTAAAACATTCTTCCTGTTCCTCCTTTCCCCCGGAAGCTGCCCCAATCTCTAAGTTTAGGTTAGATTATCTTCCTAGGAGCTCCTATAGTACTTTATACATTCAAGAAATATGTGTCAGACACAGTGCTGAGTGCTGGGTATACATTGGTGACCAAAACTGGATTCTATCTTCAAGGAGCTTATACACTCTCAACAGGGAAATCAGATATTACATAATATTTAATTTCAAACTATAAGATATACAATATCTTATAACAGATATATATAATAGATATATAGTATCTGTTATATAGAAGCTGTTATATGGAATTACACTCCCCAGAGACGAAAAAAATTTATTCAATCATTTATCATATAACATGGTAACTATTTATTATAATCACCACTTGACTGTATATTTTGCCTAGGGTCTGGTAAGAGGCTCAATAAATGAACTCAAAGTGTAGACTAGCTCTGAGCTCCTCTTCTCCAAAGGCATCCTTAGTTTAGGTGAAGTAAATATTAAAACTTTCCAACAAATGTTTTGGCCTTTTTTCCAATAATTTTAATGTATAATATATATCAGCAATTTACAGAATGAATATAATATGATTTGAAGCCATTACCTTGTTTTCTCAAGGTAGTGCACTATTAGTTTCCTTTCAGTTTCCTGTAAGTGGGGCCAACAATGCCTACTTAAAAGGACTAAGAGATTTAAAGGAGATTGTGAGTGTAGAGAGTAGTGCTAATGTAAATAAGACATCAACAAATACCAATAAAACTTAGAAGAGACCAAGAATTTCTCCTTTTATCCAAGGCCATCTGGGCAGATTCCTTAAAAGAATATGGTTCTGAAAGAGCTGGGCAGTGCCTTTAACGTAGCAGGAAACTTATGAAGTTTAGATCCTAGTTACGATGTAATAGCTTATACACAGGTACTTGATAAGAAATGAATGTCCTTGTTAGCGTCAGTAAACTACAGGTATTGGATTTGCTATTTTAATTTTGCAGGTATATTTTTTTCAAGGGAAAAACAAGTGTCATAGGTAAATAATATTTTCACAGAGGTTCTAAAGGCTAGCCAATTAATAACTGCAAAATCAATCCTAAAGCCAAGTCAACCCAATTATCTTTCAGGTTAATTCTATTTTCTATTAATATTTTAAAATAAACATCTGCCCAGCCAGGCATGGCTCAGCGGCTGAGAGTTGACCTAGGATCCAGGTGATCAGGGTTCAATTCCCGGTGAGGGCACATGCCTGGTTGCGGGCTTGATCAATGACTCTCTCATCATTGATGTTTCTATCTCTCTCTCTCCCTCTCCTTTCCTCTCTCTGAAATCAATAAAGATATATTTTAAAAATAAATAAATAAATAAATAAATAAATAAATAAACATCTTATAAATTACTATATTTTTCTACTTCTAAAGTGTTCTCAAATGTACACATCTCCCTAACTATCTTAGCAAGAATGAGCTTGCTAACTCTGGACTTGAGTCTCTACATTTATAATTCATGGGGAAGTCATTACAGCATTAATTACATTTTTCAAAACTATGTTTTTATTGACTTTTTAGAGAGAGAGGAAGGGAGATAGAGAAGGAGAGAGATATAGAAACATCGATATCAACATCAATCGGCTCCTGCACACCCCACACCAGGGACTGAGCTCAGAAACCAGCATGTGCCCTGACCAGACTGGAACCGGGACTTCCTGGTGCATAGGTTGACGCTCAACAGCTGAGCCACACTGGCGGGGCTTAATTACATTTTAAAAAGAAATGTTAGCCAATGTACTTAATTACCAAAGTCTTTATCTAACCTTAGTTTTATACTCCTTTTCTCATCAAAATAAGTAATACATGCATTTACGCTACACTAATATATTTTAATAAACAGGGTTCTTTTTGTAGTTAAAGTACTTCTTTGCTCTTTTACTTTTTAGCTGGGTGGCCTTGGGCAACTTACCTCTCTGATCCTTAATTTCCTATTTGTAAAATGGGTATAACGGTAAAAACTACCTCATAGAGTTATAGGGAGAAGTAAATATGATAATGTATATGTATTACTTAGAAGGATGTACAGTGCCTGGCACTAAGTATGCCATATATTATTTTATATATACATCTGCACACATCCTATTACCTTAAAATGTCTATTCAATTCAGATATCCCGGTAGAAAACAAAGAATGCTCAATCAATGCACAAACTGACCTGTAACTATAAGCTGATATTAACAAGAATACAAAACTTCAGAACTTGGAAAGGTCTCAAATAATCTGGGAAAAACCCTATTATTTGACCAAATGAGGTATGGAGAGCCAAGGATGAGAAGTGACTTGTCCAAAGTAACACTCCTAACCAGGGCAGAATCAACATTAGAATCTAGGCTTTTCTTTGTCTTTTATGTAACTTAAAAATAATTTTTGATGATCAGCTCCAGGCTTATCTTTTTCTACCTTTATACTGGTGATTTAGCATTACTATGCTAATCAGATTTGCCTTCATGTACCTTTTATATACTCTAAGACACAAGTATATACATAGCTGGCCCTTAAAATGCTTTGTGATTATTAATACTGGATTGATTTTACTCTATTACTTAACTGGAAGTTTCTTAGGGGCAGGAACTTTGCCTTATTCCTGTCTGTATTAGCTGAAGCCAAGTACCATATACTTAGCAGGCATTTACATATTTCTTTATTTCAAAGTCATAATAATGGGGAAAGGGCTAAGACCAAAAAAAAAAAAAGGAGAAGAAAAAAAACCACCAACAAACTTTCTGATTACTACTTCTAAGTTAACCATGGACTTTAAGAGGCCTGGAAACCTGGAACACAGATTTTCAGTCATCTAAGAGAGCCATCCTAGGCACTAATACTCCCTTTTCTATTAGGCTTGCATATTCTAAATGGAATCAAGTAAGGCATATACTTAAGTCAAGATACTTAAAAATTAATAAGCAAGCATATTTACAGTAAATTCGTTCTAAAACGGGAAGCGAAAAGCAGCAGCAGCAGTGCTCACTGTCACATGTTCTACTTCCTTAGAGGAACCAAAGAAGGAATAGGTGAATCAAAAAATATTGTTGAAACTTTCTATATCCTCAGTCTTAAATCTGATTTGGCTTTCCTGGTTATTACTGGGAACAAAAAATAAGGTATCTGTATAACTTTGTTAACTAAGCCTTTTACCATTCAGTGAGCTGTTGTCTATGTTTAAGAGCACAGTCATATGCCTAGAATTAAAGCATTTCAGGTCTTATGAGCCTGCTCAGGAAAGCAGCATAGCTGAGCCACCAAGAACTTATCTCAGGCCAGGAGTCTGGAAAAGAGCACATGACTGTTCTTTTTCACCCTGTAATTTTCAGTCAGCAGTGGACTGCTTGTTGCATGAAAGTTGAAAGCCCTAACATTCATTTACAGACATCCCCAAATACTTTCACCTAAGGAAGAATGTGAATTTAAAGTATATCTTGTAAACTTTCACAAGGCACAGCCATATACAAAACAGGTTTGTATGAAAAAAACATTAATTCAAAAGGCTTACTACACAGTCAACAGCAGCAGGCTGGATTGTGTGGACATTTGAGTGAATGTTCTGGGTGGAATAGGGAAAAAAATGAACCAAAGCACAGCTTAACTCTAAAATAACTGAGCAACTGAAAGAACCCAAAGTGGAACTAACCGAAAAAAGGCCATCTAAAGTGGGTAGGTAGAGGACTTAAGGATAGGTAACACAGAGTTAGTCACAGTGTAAGTCAAAAGAAAGCCAGTGTCATTTTATGTATTGAATCTCCACCGGGACTGGAAGCAACTTGAGGGCAGGCACAGCAGCTTAATCATCTGTGCAACCTCTTAGCATTTAGTAGAATGAGGAGTATATGTTGGTGTATTCATCATATTCTTAAATTTGTTTTAAAATGTTCAAAGAAAGGCTCTGCAAGGATCAGAATTTGGCACCTCACAAGTTTGAAGGGAGTCAAGCTGTCTACTGACACAAGGGAAATGGTGAAACTGAACTCTGGAAGAGACAAAGAGCTGCCCTTGAAGAACTAACTGTACCCCAGGCCAGTATGTACAATGACTGGGGGCAGGGGATAGTGACCACAGTCTCTTAGATTGGTTTTAAGCTTTAGAGTGCAATTTCACAACTATTATTCATTCAACAGGCACTTCCTGAGCACTCACTATGTTCCAGGTACTGTGCTGAACGCTAGGCAGAGATGAACAATATAAGAGGTTCCTGTCCTGTCAGGGTTCAAAATCTAGCAGGTTCGGTGTGCAAGGATAGAGGTAATCTCGCCTAGCTGTGGGAATACGGAAGAGAAAGTAACTATTTCTGCCTGGGGCTGTGGGAGAAAGGAAAGCACCAAAAAGGTGACATCCCAGTTGGGCCTTGAAGGATGCTGGGGCTGCCTCACCAGGGCCAATTTTAAGTGTCACCGCCTTGTCCACCGAGAACAGAAAGTCTTATATTGGCCCCTAATGACTTCTATAAAAACTCTGGAGGCAGGTATTCTCCTCTGCAATCACCCGCATTTCACAGGAAAAACTGTGACCCGGCAAGCAAAAGGCGCACCCCAGGGCCATACTGCGTGTCAGGGGAGATGCCAGGCCCAGAACGCAGGCGGACAGGCTCGGCGGCTTCGAGCTCGGCCAGGATTCTAAGACCAGTGTGCGGAGCACCGGGCAGCGGCCAGGGTCTGGACTCGGAAGTCGGCAAGAGGTCTGATAAGAGAGTTTCTCCAACGATTAGCTCGGCTTCCTCAGCCACGCCCTCCGTCCCGCTCTTCACAGTCACTCACCCGCCGCTAGGCGAGAGGAAGTCGGTGTCGTCCTCGTCGCCCGCACCAAACATCGTGCTGGCTTTCGCCCGGCGGCGGAGAGGAAGACGAGAGTTTGCAGGAACCTTTAGCCGCCGACGTCGTGAAATGCCGCGGCGGAGTGCTGCTTTCCGGCAGGACGAACTCTCGCGCGGTTGCCTCCCTCCGCCAGAGGAGACTCTAGGCTCTGGGGGAGGCGGGGCAAAGACAAACAGAGAGGACCGCGGGAGCATAAGCGTGGTGTCACGAGCGCGGCGTCACCTAAGGTTCCTCCCGCCCTCAGAGGCGGCCAAATCCGCGGGAGCTCCGATGTCCAGGGCAGGGATTGGTCAATGAGGCAGGGGGCGGGGCAGGGGCGGGAATCGCCCGCCTCCGCAGCCTCGGTGGCGATCCTGGACACGTAGAGCCGGTCGAAGTGGAGGGGGCTTCGGCAGAGTCGTGAGGGGGCGACGGGTAAAGGTCCTGAAAGGGAGGTGCCGGTGGCGGGACTCGGTCTGGGAAGGTAAGGCCTCCTTCGCCCTCTCTCAATCCTGGCACGAGCACAGTCCTTTCCCCTCCGGGACAAGGACTCTGCACGCCAGTGTTCTCCGCGCGGCGAAAGGAGAAAGGGCCCGGGATTGGCAGTCTACGGATGGGAGCTTTCGCCCCGGCCTCAACAGTGACATAGCTGGAGTGACCTTGAGACAAGATGTTCGGTGCCTCAGTTTCCCCGTCTATAAAACAGGCCTGGGCGCCCCTACCGTTTGTCCCCTGTGGCCAACCTCGCTATTTTTACAACGGGCTGTTTGTCCAGTGCTTCTGTGTGTCTGCTGGTCAAGAAGCTTTTGGACCTCAGAGGTCATCGAATTCAATCCCAGTCTCCTCATAATCCCAGAATTTACAGGTAGGAAAAGAAGGAACTAAGCACTTGAATGACTCGTCTGAGGTCACACAGAGTAAAGGGTAGGAGCTGAGGCAAGTACCTTATCAACCCTTATGCACTGTGCGCCCTCACGGAGTGGTTATTGCTAGACTGTGATACATCTTGAGAAAAGTCTTCTCTCTAGAGTCCACCTATGCAGGTGAGGTGCAGGGGAGCTGGGATATTCTGGGGCTGGGTGATGGAAAGGAGGAAACTTTAGAAGCTGAAAATTCCCATCTCCAACCTTGGCCTGGGTTTTGCCTACTCTTCCTGCCACAGACCCTAAGTCAACATCAGTTTTGCTGACTTCTCTGCCTCTTGTTCCCGCCCTCTCTGTATCTTATATATATAAGTATTTCTCTGGTTAACCTGGTGAATTCTTGAAACAATTTCCAGATAGGTCTGGCTTAGCCAAAGTGTGGATAAGCAGATAATGTCCCAGGGTAGCGTCTGTTTCCATAGATCTCACTGGAATTCTTTCACTCCAGGCTTCTCTCAACCAGGTTAGTACAACAGGTGTCCCTTACCTGAATGTTTTAATCTGTTAGCACGAAATTGAAGTGATTGGTATCTCCCTCCCAGAGAACTTCGAACCTCTTGGCACTTGTTACGGTTTTTGTTATAATTTGGGTAATTCTAAATAATAAGCTCCTCAAGGACAGGGATTGTTTTATTTGTCTTGGCGTCTCCTGTGTCACAGAGCACTATGCCTTCTTACCCATAATGGGTTCTTATTCATTGTTTGTTAGGTTAAGTAATGGAACTCATCTTTGTCCCCTTAGTCCTTAACTTACTCTCCTAGGACCCGTGTGCCCCCCCCCCCC